TGAAATCCACTGACCCACAATTTCTATTTAACAGCATCCCAAAGAGCATTGTATACTTAGCTGATGAGATACCCATTAAATTATACATACAAAACTACTTTGAACCCACTGACACCGTCAGCTGCATTGATACACAGTCAAGTATGAGGAACGTTGACAAGCAGTCAGACTTAGCTCACGGTGGATATTGCTCAGCACTTATACCACCCTCATATACTATATGTACACGGGATATACAGAAAGGGATGTTTATATACACTTCGTGAAGCTTTTATATCCATTCAAGAATGACAAACTATTTTGTCATACAAATATGCAGTACATATTCATAAAAAATTAAAGAAATTCTCTGATGTATCAGAAGTTGAATGAACAATGTTAGATTTTTAGTACGCAACATACTAGCAGTGTGGCACATGTGACCCAAAGAATATTAAATATTTGATATCAAAGTATTTAAGAAATAATGACATGATTCAATTTTCCTTACATATTCCATTTTTTTCAGCAATTTAACCCCACATCTCATTCTTTCGGGGCCATGTGTGTTCTGTAGTTGTAGGGCAACATTTTGTCTTTCTAGATTCTGGCATGTTGGTTGGTTGTCGTTTAATGTTGCACATTTGGCAATATTTCACCTAAATGGTGGCGGTCTGTAAATAATTGATTCTGGACCAGACACTCCAATGATCAACATGATGAGCATTGATCTACACAATCGAAATATGACATGTGTCCACCAAGTCAGCGAGCCTGATCATCCGATCCTGTTAGTCACCTCTTACGACAAGCATGGGTTACTGAAGGCCAATTCTAACCCAGATCTTCATGGGTAGATTCTGACATGTGCTTTTGAGGTTGTTTTCAGTAGTACTAGTACTTGGAATTCGAGGTGATAAAATGCAACAGAAAAATGGAAGGTATTTGGGAGCAAGGTGGTGATGGCACCCTCATATATCTTGCTTATGAGCTTGAAACTAACAACCAATCAAAATGGCTCTTCTGAAGATGAGTTCAGTATAACTCTGCCTTGTATGAGTGAACCATCCATTTACTTAATCAATAAATTGACTGCTATAATTTCACTTTTAGTGGGAATAGACGTTGTCCTTTGTCTGAAGATAGTGAGATCGAAGTCATATTACTATGAGGCATTCCCAGTTGTATCAGAGACATTCCCAAGTGCCATTTCAAATATGTAACCAGATTGTAATTTGATTGGAGCACTATTTTTAGTGTTGCTTTATTTGACGTGACGGGAGATGTTTTCTGTATGTAATTTTAGCCCTGTGTGTTACTGAAATATTTTCTCTATGTTGTTAGATCTCTCTGAGACATTGTCTCTATGTAAATATAGCCTGGCGTGTTACTGAGACATGGTCCACTGACCCAGGTACACATAGCAAAAATCACACAAAATACAACCTTAAAAGAAGGTTTGAAGCTCAAAATCAGTTCTTACATGCAAGCAATAACACCTCAAAGGTCTCACTTGTAACTGAAAAAAACCCTTTGGTCATACTTGAAAGAAGTTCTTGAAAGTGAAACCTCTCCATGTCTATTTAAAGTCACGCCCAGCTTAAAACCTGAGTCTCAGCACTAGGTGTAAGGAGACAACCTTGTATGGAACAAAATGGATGACGTCACTGGAGGTTCATAATGTTTGTTGTTGCTACTGACTGGAATTTGATAACCTTTATCACCTTTTTACTAGAGACTGTTATATGCAGTCGGTGTAATATGACCTATCTGATATACAGCACATGTTGATAAAACACATATTAACTTCAACTGCTGTAGTATAAAGAACAAAACCTGGATGGAAATGAACAAAAGAGTGAGTGAGTGAGTTTAGTTTCACACCACATTCACCAATATTCCAGCTATATGGCGGCAGTCAGTAAATAAATGTCTGGACCAGACAATCCAGTGATCAACAGCAGGAGCATCAATCTACTTAAATACCTCTTATGACAAGGATGGGCTTCTGAAGATGAACAAAAGAATTATCACAACCACAAACAAATTGTGATAATCCTTTGTGCAGGGACATCACAGTGAAACATACAGTTTCTACGAGTATACTGACTGAATCTTCTGTACCTTCCCATTGTTGTACTCAGAAGTTCATAACTGGATGTACACATACTCACTTTCTCCGCCAAGGTAATTTGTTAGCTTTAGTCATTACACAGCGTAAGCTCAGCTGGGTTAATTTGTGTCTTAACACAAATAATTGAATGAGTGAGTGAGTTTAGTTTTACGCCGCTTTTAGCCATATTCCAGCAATATCACAGCTGGGGACACCAGAAATGGGCTTCACACATTGTACCCATGTGGGGAATCAAACCCGGGTCTTCAGCGTGATGAGCAAATGCTTTAACCACCAGGCTACCTAACTGAATGAAAGGACCATACTGTAGGAGTGAGTGAGTAAGTTGGGTTTTAGCATTATTCCAGCATTAACACGATAGGGGACAGCAGAAATGGGCTTCACTCATTGTACCCATATGGGCAATCAAACCCGAGTTTTCGGTATGATGAGCGAACACTTTTACCAACACCTAAAAAAGGAAGAAGAAAATGGTCTCTGTAAATATATATTTCATGGAAATGAATTTAGTGAATCTGAAAAATCTAGAAATTTCAGGAGACAAGTATACAGACAAAAGCAAAGATGCACTGAGAGCGGAAAACAATATCAAACATTGCCTGAGTGTCCATTGACTTCTGCCTGTCCGACAACATGCACTGCTAGTGTGGTACTGTGCATGTAAGCCCTCTGCACTGTCAGACATGGAGGCAACAGTAATTAACTGCTTGTCCTCTGTTACAGTCTGTTACCAACCATAACTGTTATCCGCTGTTCAAATGGATATGCCTGATTCACCTTGCCTGACAACAGTAGTAAATGTTCATAATTAATAATTGTGATTTGCAATTAAGCTTAACCTTAAAATAAAAAACACACATGACCATATTGCAGCTAACATGACACATCCCAGCAATCACTTCTAAATAATCTACTGCTTATTGATCTCAAACTTGTTTGGTGAAGTGAACTTTGTGATGGACAAAGATGGACCCTCCAGAGTGAGTAAGTGAGTGCCACCTTTAACAATATTCCAGCAATATCACGGCAAAGGACAGCTAAAATGGGTTTCACACATTGTACCCTATGTGGGGATCGAACCTGGGTCTTCAGTATGATGCATGGACACTATAACCATTAGGCTACCTCACCGCCCTTGGAATTTCCAGATGAACTTTCCACTAAATGATCTCCACAACAATTGAAAAATAGTCCAGTGTGCCACTATATTCTATCTTGAAATAAATAAATAAATAAATAAATAAATAATATATCAATCACACACACAAATAAATAAATAAATAAATAAATAAATAAATAAATAAATAAATAAATAAATACACACACACACACACACACACACACACACACACATTCCAGCATGAGGTGAAAGAGTTGAAATCAAGAAACTTTGAATTTGTTGAATAAACCCGCTGTTGAATATACACTACTGAATATGAAGACTGTTGAATATGATCCCTCTTAAATACACAAACTGTTACAAGAATTGAAGTACTGATGTTTTCAAGGATCTTTTCACAATTTCCCAGCAACCAGGCATTGTAAATACAGTTTCTGATTAATGACGTTTCCTGGTTCTCAGCCATGAAGCAAATCAGCCTTTTATTTATGATTTATGATAATACAGCCATGTATTACCATCAGTAAATATTTCTAAAATCTCAGTTGTATTTCATATGGGAAAACAAATCACAGACTATGACATTCATTACCCTTCCACATGAAATTATACAACACAGAACTCCCAACAGTGTTGTCAGCTGAACATTGACAAATGGAATAGGCAGAAAAAGATAATATCATGTAAAAAAGGGTACTTGTGATGTATGTATATTTGTCATGTTACAATAACTACCACTTCTGTTGGCATTGCAAGGGAGGACTGTCATTTGGACCTCCTGCCCACAATGCCTATAAACATCCAGCGGGGGTGACACCTAATCGTTGTTTGTTGATTGTTTAACACTACACTCAGCAAAACTCGGACAAGAACACAGCAGTTGTAAATAACAGTCTGGACCACACAATCTTGTGACTCTCATCATGAGCATTAATCTATGCAGTAAGGATGTGATGGCAAGTCCAGTCTATTCCTGCAAGATGCCTCTTATTACAAGTATGCTTTGCTGAAAAGCAATTCTAACCCTGATCTAAACTCTCAAGGAGACTGCATGGTCTTAGGGTTGGTTCACGTAACAATTCTGTTCCAAGGATAGGATAATAACATGTTTTTTTAATTTAATAATCGACAGTGTCAAAGTCAGCAGCAATATTGCTCATCACAATGTTTAAAAAATGCAGAATTTCTGCTCTTTCCAAAATTGAAATTTTTAAAATACAAGTTTATTACATGCAATGTTTAACATATAGTTCTTCTGGGAAACACTCCTTAAAGGTATGATATCATGTTTCTTAATTGAACAAAGTCATGAAAGTCATGAAAGATGTGATTTTGCTGTAGAATGCCCTCACATATGCCCATATACTTTTTAAAAAGTATAAGATCTAATTCAGATATAAACAAAGAACAACTATTACTTCAGAAAGCGTGTATACAAATGTAAATAATTGCAAGAAAACTAAAATTGTGAATCTCACTTTCACAAAACGACCATTTTCATGTCAATTCACAGTCCACCTTCAATTCATACCTGGAAAATCTATACACACTTCCATATAATGTTCCTCATTGATCATTTCCTCAATTGGTATACATGAAATTGGATGTTCATGGCCTCGTGTATTGTTCAGTCTGACGTGGTCAACACATCCTCACAATGAAAAGTAATACCACAAACAATAACTTCTCCACTGGCTGTTGTGTAATCAGATTATAACACATTGTGGTGCCTTTGTAATTTGCCACTCCCAAAACCGACTTACCTGACAAGTGCCTTTCCTTGTATTACGTACTTGATGTCACATAGTATACTACCATCCCGACACAAGGGTGATGATAGACAGTGGCTATCGATCTGCATGCATCAGGATATGTATGTACGCTGTCGTGTTCCTATATGTGTATCGCTGTGTGGGACACTCACCTGTCACCTGCACAACGAAGCAACAGGTGCGTGCCAGTTTGTTCATCGTGTGTTCGGCACGCGATCACGTAGGACGGTGTATGAATCAAGTCTGCAACTTACCATGTGTCGGGGTATCCTGGCAAAAGTTCACCACACTGGATAACTGTGTACCCTAGTTGTGTGACTCTTTAGATGACCTCGAGGTCAATACGGGCTTCCGCTCTCGTTGACAAACCAGATACACCCGTATACACACTGGCTGTTATCGTCTGCTGAACATTAAACAGCCAATCGCGGCGTCGCTGTTCTCGAGCCGGTATATAAACACCCCCCACCCGTGTATACCCCAATATAACTATATATGCATGGCGTATATATGAGAGAGGATTTTACGTAACACTATGACGGATATTTTAGTTTAGATATGTATAATTATACTCTCAACGGCAGGTCTTCGTTCACTAGTACGGGTTTTGTTTTCAGTGAATAGGAATCCCGTGCGTTTGGTTTTAACATTGAGTATGCTTTTAGCAATATTCCAGCAATATCACGACGGGAGAAACCAGAAATGGGCTCACATTGTACCCATGTGGGGAATCGAACCCGGGCCTTCGTCGTTCCGAGCGAACGCTTTAACTACTAGGCTACCCCCACCGACCTATTAACGTTAAGAGAGGCATGCACATGCAGTGATGCCATGAATGAATATGGTTTTGCGACGCTTTAAAGATTAAGCAAACAATATAGAGATGATCCAGAATTCTGGAGAAGGGGGATCCGCCCCGTGACGAGAGAAGGCTTTCACCACCAGGCCACCTAGCCTAGCCGAGAGCCGCGATGCTGTCCTATACAGTCAAGATATAATGCAGGGTCATGTCTCGACTGTACATATAGGACCGCATCGCGGCTCTCGGCTATATAGCGACGAGACCAAGCCTGCATTCATACTCTTCTAAGTACAAAGTCCAAATGAGTTGTTTGACAACATATATATTCATTACATTATTATTTACAAACAGAATATGTCATAGCACCAAATTAATAAAAAACAACCAAGCAACCCGTCTTTTACATTACATTTTTATAGTTTCAATTTATGGTGATGCCATGAAACTATGGTGGTGGTGGTGGTGGAATTGGGTTTAACGTCGTGCTTGAGAATATTTTGCTCATATGACGACGTGCATGCGTGTGTATGTGTATGTGCGGCTGCTTGTACTAGCCCAGACTGAAGCTGGTTTTATAGTGCTAGCCCACTGAGATACCATGCCGCAATGAAGCATCAATACCCCACTCAGACACATTATACTGACTCCGATCCAACCAGTCCTTGTTGTACCCATTAATGCCGAGCGCCAGGCAGGGACCAACAAGTACCATATTTTAACGTCTTTTGGTATGACGCGGTCGGGGATCGAACCCGCGCCTGAAACTATGGAGCTATAGGATGACAGTATGTAATGATGTGATGGTAGTATGAGGTGACTATGCGAAACTCTTGTAATGTGGAAAAGCGTGTATACAATGTGACAATGTGACTGACCCCCCAACCCCTACAATTTATGCACAAAGTAAGTGACCCCCTGCATGTCATGTACAAAATCAACGACCCCCTTCCCCTTCCCATATTTTAAAGCATAATTTTAAAATATTTGTATGTACAAAATTGATGCCCCCCCTAGTACATGTGTACAAAATTGATGACCCCGCTACCTCCCCAGAACAAAATGGGTGACACACACACACACACACACGCACGCACGCACGCACGCACGCACGCACGCACGCACGCACGCACGCACACACACCGTATAGGTTAGACCACGAGGGTCCTGTGTTTAACCGTTGAAATGCTGAGTTAAACCCCGAGGCGCGTAGCGCAGCATTTCAATGGCTAAACACGGAGTGCGAGTGGTCTATCCTATTTATACCATGGTCATCTTTACATGGTATTAACTTCCCTGATTATTCTGTAAATGTAAGTTAAAATAGCGATCTAAATGTTGTGCGTAGGTTGGTTTTGCTTTCATGGTTGTGAATAGGCTTTCCTATCATTTGAAGCCACTGATGTCTTACGCTGGTCAGCATGTCTTGCATGACCTGCACGTGCATTTCGAACTGATTGACATTCTTACTAATTACTTATTCTTGTTTGGGGCTGCTATTGGTTATGCTTGGGCCATTTGACATGAGTGATTATTTGTTTTCTGAATACTTCAAGGCACGCGCATGGTCAGAGCACATGTTCAGTATGGACGCACACCTATTTGACAGTAATATGCTGCAAGCTTCCCAAATGGGACTGGATATGGACCTTATGGTGAATCAAGCAGTGATAGCAATACCTGTGAGTACCTTGAGAATACTTACGCCGGGTTGTGCAGGGTACGGAAAACTGTTACAACCGACACAACCGTTACAGTCGTGCACAGTGGCTGCTCCGTCAGACGGCAGTGTTAATGTCTCCCTCAATATCCACTTCAAGTGAAAAAAAACCCTGCGAAAATGTACATTATCCCGAATAAAACTTTACTGAAAATTATGTGTTTGTTGTTTGCAAAGTAGTTCCGGCCCGGGGTTAACTGGTTTGGCGTCAGTTAAACCCCAGTGCGAAGAATTTCGAGGCTCTCTTAGCGCTAAGATAGTCGTATGTCAATGTGTGGCACTTACGACTATTTTAGCGCTAAGAGAGCTTCGAAAATCTACGCCCGGTCTGAAACAAAGGAGCCATGCTTTACGGGTACTACAATCCTATGGGTATTTCCTCTATATTCTGACCTTAGGAGTTGGAAACTGTTCTGGGGTTTCTTTCTTAGGTATATAAAGAGTGCTAAGGGGCCGTTCATAATTTATGGCTAAGGGCCCCACACCCCACCCCCGAAACTTTCTGGATCCGCCTATGAATGTGACTGTCCCGCCCCAAATTTTATGTACAAAGTAAGTGACCGCCCTGCATGTCATGACCCCCCTCCTTTCTCATATTTTGTAATCATATTTTTTAATTAATCTTATGTACAAAATTGATTCTTCTCCCCAAAGTACATGTGTACAAAATCATCATCACCCCCTAGCCATAAATTATGAACGGTCCCCTAACCTATGCCCCTCATCTCACATTACATCTCAAGGTACAAGAACAGCAATTGTATAGAGATATTTCTTACCCTGGATACTCCGGGTTTTATGGAAACTTGACCATTGTTGCAGTCAGGTGAATAGTGCCGCCTGTAATTATTGCTATGATCCCTGGGGGCGGTAGGGTAGCCTTGTGGTTAGAGCGTTCGCTCGTCACGCCGAAGACCCGGGTTCGATTCCCCGCGTGGGTAAGATGTGTAAAGCCCGTTTCTGGTGTTCCCCGCTGTGATAATAATGGAAAATTGCTAAAATCGGCGTAATAGTAAAGTCTCCACCCACTGTGGTCCCTGCTTGTTTATTATGCTGCCTTTGACTGAGTTTGGTTTTACGCCACTTTTAGCAATATTCCAGCAACATCACGGCGGGATTGAATTTGTGCTGCCACTAGTTTGTACTGCTACACCTTAATAGTGATTTGTTATTATTTTGTAAACTTGGTTAATTGTAGAATGCAATGGTTAAGTACATTACATTGCTTTGTTTATTGGATGCAGACCAAGTTCAGACTGTGTTTTAGATTCAACTTGGGAATCAACACGTAATATTATGAGGTTACGTGATGAAACATTGAAGTAATGTGATGAAACATTGAAGTGATGCAGTGAAATTATGAAACATGACGTGATGAAACATTGAAGTGATGTGATGAAACATTGAAGTGATGCAGTGAAATTATGAATCATGACGTGATGAAACGTTGAAGTAATGCTATGGAACTATGAAGTGATAAAACACTGAAGTGATGAGATCTAACTAAGATGTGATCAGATGGAACTATGAAGTGACGCGACGAAACATTGAAGTGATGCTATGGAACTATGAAATGATGTGATGCTATGGAACCATTAAGTGATGGCATGGACATATGAAATGACGTGATGCTATGGAACCATTAAGTGATGGCATGGACATATGAAATGACGTGATGCTATGGAACCATTAAGTGATGGCATGGACATATGAAATGACGTGATGCTATGGAACCATTAAGTGATGGCATGGACATATGAAATGACGTGATGCTATGGAACCATTAAGTGATGGCATGGACATATGAAAAGACGTGATGCTATGGAACCATTAAGTGATGGCATGGACATATGAAATGACGTGATGCTATGGAACCATTAAGTGATGGCATGGACATATGAAATGACGTGATGCTATGGAACCATTAAGTGATGGCATGGACATATGAAAAGACGTGATGCTATGGAACCATTAAGTGATGGCATGGACATATGAAATGACGTGATGAAGCAATAAAGTGATGCTGTGTAACTATGAAGTGATGCGATGAAACAATAAAGTGATGCTGTGTAACTATGAAGTGATGCGATGAAACAATAAAGTGATGGTGTGTAGCAATGAAGTGACGCAAAGAAACAATAAAGTGATGGTGTGTAACAATGAAGTGACGCAAAGAAACAATAAAGTGATGGTGTGTAACAATGAAGTGACGCGATGAAACAATAAAGTGATGCTGTGTAACAATGAAGTGACGCGATGAAACAATGAAGTGATGCTGTGTAACAATGAAGTGACGCGATGAAACAATGAAGTGATGCTGTGTAACTGAATGAAGTGATGCGATGTAAAGTGATGCTGTGTAACAATGAAGTGATGCGATGAAACAATAAAGTGATGCTGTGTAACAATGAAGTGACGCGATGAAACAATGACGCGATGATGCTGTGGTAACTGCTTGCGATGAAACATGATGGTGTGTAATTGAGTGGATGAAACAATGGATGCTTTACGATGCGATGAAACCTCTACAATCTCTATCAATACATACATTGAGGGCGTATGGAACGCCTTTAGATTCCATGAAACTTTTAGATTCCATGTGTTCTCACTGGTCAGTCCACAACAAGAGAACCAGTAAACCGTTATATATATATAATCCTTACTTTTGATAAACCAACAGCTTAAGTAGCTTAACTCCCTTCAGTGAAGTTGGCCTTCTACCTAGTTGGTTCTCGGAATGCCGGTAGCTTAGCGTACATGGTCCGGGGATTTCCTGTATCCGTGGACACGTGTGCCAGCTGTAGTCTGTTACAACGTAGTCATTAGTGGCCAGCGATGAGTGGACTGTGTTTACATATATGGACTGAAACACCGAAGGTATATTTACATCGTTTGCATTTTTTTAAGATAATTCAAGACAATTCACAAATAATTCTGAATATTACAACTCACGACTCGAGGCTGCTCACACATGAGTTAGTTTTACAGTGTAGTGTCATTCAAAGAGTATAGGATGAAAGTTCACAAACACAACTCATTGGTAGGTAAATGATCGGGAAGGTCAGGATCTGCATTTCAGAATATAATCAAGGTTAGAGCAGAAGAATTAACACGGCCCATTTGCAATGCAGAAACACTGTCCAGCGACCTGCAGCACCACTGACAATGTACCTCAGAGCGACATCAGGTGGGTTATGCATAGAAATGCAAAGTATCAGTCGACTCCGTTCCAGCAGCGGGACTCTATAAGGCCTGTTGTAGAGTATCAGGCTTAGCAAATGAAGTGTTGGAATGCAAGAAGTGTCGTCGATCAAGCTGGGCTTCCACCTGAATTACAAAATAACGAAGAGTAAATAGTGTTTTTTTCAAATGGGCATGATATTAGTTCCTAGTCATGGTTGTATGGTAATACTTACCAAATCGGGAAGTCATTAGAACCGGCAGTGACAGTAGATGTTATGAAGAACAACGACCTTGACGACGAAAGGGTAAGAAAGGACATTTTTAATTTGACTTTTGGGTATCAATAGTGCCTAGAACTGCCACGATTTGTGAAACATACATTCACTTAACAGGGCATTGACTCCAAATGTCGACTTAAGGGGTCTGTCATACTCCTCACACCACGCGTGATCGGCAACGATTACTTCAGTTTCGACGTTCCCTACGCCATTGATGTATGTCGGCTATATGACGATTTGTGGGGGGTCATAAAACACGTGGTTGTCGAGCGTTGAGATAAACTGCATGTAGGCCATTTTCGCATCGTCTTACTGGTAACTCGTTTTCCAGAAGTCTGATGAATGTTTGGAGTTATTGGATTATCCGTTTGAGCTCTGTACTCTTTTGACCACCTCCGTGGTGTAGTGGTTAGAGCATCCGCCCGGAGAGCGGGTTCGATCCTCGGTCGTCAACATTATGGGTGTCTTAGTACCTGTTTCATACTCTGCAAATCACAGACTGTAAAGCATTGAACTATTGGCCACTTACAATTTCCAGCAAGCCAATAATCCGTAGACGCTTTGTGGGTTCCAAACGCGGCATGGCTACTTCATACACAAACAAGGAAGGAAATCAAGTAACCCACAACTGTATGAGTAAGCAGAATCAATAAGATTCACAGAAATAATGTTCAACAGAAATTAATCGACCTCATTTGGACAAAGATCAGCAATGACACCCTAGAGACGTGAGTGGGGCTTCAGGACGGAAGACTCGTTACAGCAAGAGCGACGTTTTGACGTTTTAAATAACTCTAATAAAGACGTTGTTCATCCATAGATTGTTCTCCTTCCTTACTACTCCAACTTCTAAATGCCTCTGTAAGGATGTGTTTTGGAGTAAAAAGGTTTCAGACATGAAGGATGTTGAACAGGATGTTTGTCGTCAAAACCTATCTTTGTTCTGTTGCAAGGTATTAACTTTATTATTGCATCATTCACTATTTTATTAAAGAGTGTATTATATATTTTTAATATTATTGATTACAATACATTGTTACTATTACTTACCTGGACGACTTGAGGACGTGAGTACATGCAGTTTGTATACTAGCCACATAAAGAAACTGTACATTGTCAAAATATTATCCCAGTGGATAAGTACGATAACAATGTCAAAGGTACTTATAAACTTTAATGGAGGGATCATGAGACCATAACAAGTCGGGAGAATTTCAATTGAGAAGTCAATCACAATGACGTCACGTGTCCACAAGCGGGACAGGGGTCAAACGACCATGTCACAAGCTCAATAACGGGTATGTCCACCATCGGCATTGAGAACAGCAGTGCATCGACGACGCATAGAGCCTATCAAACGTGCAAGGAAGGCTTGTGGGATGTCACGCCAGATTCTCTTAAGTTCTGTTGCAAGGTCAAGGACGTTATCTGGCGTATGAGGAAGACGGCGTAGACGTCGATCCATCTCGTCCCAAACATGCTCTATCGGGGAGAGATCCGGTGAATTTGCAGGCCAAGGCAGTAAGTCAACGTTGTGGTGTTGCAAGAAATCCATAGCAACCCTTGCCGTATGAGGGCGGGCATTGTCCTGTTGGAATGTTAACCCAGGGCCATGACGTTGCAGAAAAGGAATTGCCACAGGTCGAAGAATCTGATTCCTGTAGCCCACACCAGTTAAGTTGCCCTGAACAATCACCAAAGAAGTTCTTTGGCGTGCTGTTATTCCACCCCAAATCATGACGGAACCACCACCAAAGCGATTCCTCTCCAAGACACAGGCCTGTGCATAACGTTCTACCACGCGTCTATAGGCACGTTGACGTCCATCACTATGGGAAATGTTAAACCTGGACTCATCTGTAAAAACAACATTTCTCCACCAAAACAAGGGTCTGCGGACATGATTTCGGCACCACATTCGGCGAGATTGTCGATGACGTTGTGTCAGGATAGGCCGTATGGCGGGACGTCGTGGTCTGATCCCGTGATGACGTAAACGTTGTCGAACTGTGTTGGTGTGGATACGGCGAAATCCTGGGATGGTTCGGGCAGTCATCACTGCAGTCTGAAACCTGTGGCGAAGACGGGTCACCCTTATCCATCTGTCCTGTCTTGGCGTTGTTACACGTGGACGTCCAGAACGTGGCCGATCGATGATGTCATTTATGTTCTGGTAGCATCTCACCAGTGCAGAAATGGTGTTCCGGTGGCAGTGGAAATGTGCAGCCACTTGTCATTGAGACATTCCCCCAAGGACCATCCAAATGGCCTCATGACGTTGTGCAGACGTGAGCCTTGGCATGCTATGCGTTTCAATAGCCGTTTAATTCTTTGTACGATCGCAAGGGCAGGGGTTGAGCTTTCCAAAGTGACAGTATTATGTGGCATTCATTTGCTCTGTTTCTCTTTCCCGGAAAGCACGTACAACAACGTATTGCACGTCTCAAGGACGAACCCACTGACGTCACGGAACGTGGCACGTGCATGCATGTTGGATACATGTCACTAATCTCTGAATTTAAATCCTTATGTGTCTACACAGGTTTGATAAATTTCGATTTTAAATTTTTGTATGCACAGTTTCTTTATGTGCCTAGTATAAATACTCATGGAAACGAATAAGGGAACACATGAAAGTACAATTGTTCCTATATTCTTTTCCAGATTTTCAACCACCGTCGCAATTCAAAGCTTGTGCAGAAACCTGGAAAAAGAAGAAAGGAACACTTGTACTTTCATGTGTTCCCTTATTCGTTTCCATGAGTATATATTTGAGACAGGGTGTTGTGGGACTGTTATCTGAGACCTTTCAGTAGGAACAACTTCAAACCGTCCATGCTGGGCACCCTCACATTTGAAGACATCTTGCATTAGGCTGATTCCAGTTCTTATTTCCTCTTTTTCAGGTTGGCCGTTCCATCAGTGACAACTTCAGGCACTGGATGAATATAACCCAAAAGACATTTAACAGGTTCATCTTCTTCTGTCCCACGTTTCCAGCTCGCTCGGACAACATCTATTGTGATCCCAATAAGCGCAAGGCTGGTTACGATATTTTGTGTAAATAAAGAAGATTGTTGGCTTTGTTGTTGCTGCTGTTGTCTCAAAAACAGGCCGTGATACTGCTGGAATATTGCTAAAAGCGGCGTAAAACCCAACTCATTCGAAAACAGAGCAGTCACCTGTGAATTTATCACCCACAAGACGTCGATATGCAAAGTGACCTCAGCGTTAGGATGTTTGACGTAAGTCAATGCTAACGTGTTAGAGCAATGTGGAACGGGGCCAATGTTGGCGGTAGTATGATATTTACATCATGAGTTGCCAAGTGTACGTTCTGCAGTACGTTCCTGTAACTGAAAACAGTCGATGAGACGGCGTTCGTGTATACGAGTAAGGACATTTAGGTACCTTTGTCGGAGAATGTTACGAACGTTTAAAGCGTTAATTGTATGCAAAATTTATTGTGATCAACATGCAGTCTTTTGCCGGTTTGTTTATATATGATTTAGTCACAGTTCTCGGACCTCTGATGAGTCAATGCAATTTGACGGATGCCACCGGTGTGGCAGGATCCACTCAGTTTCTCGAATATCCGGTATAACCACTAAGTTTAATAGTGATCCATTTACACATTAATGCTGCAGTAATCGGCACCAATGGGCACAGACAAACCAATCAGCATGGGTGGTCATGATCACCGTGTTGTCGGGCCGCCTGTTACACGAAATAACAAACTGCAAGAAAACGCCAATAACAAGTCATGCAGTGCCAGGCCCGGACGTCGAAAGAGTTAACAGTTGTCATCAATAACGCGATCAATCTGTTAGGGTGTTGTGGTCATTGTTCCCAGGGAATCTATATAAGGCCTGGTATTGTCACTTTGAAGGACACTGGTCAGTGTGTAGGTATAATGACGGTTGTAAGGCAACCATACCAATATCAGGGTCAGTCACTGTGCTCTGGCCAAGCTGACCAGGGCTTCATTGAACATGCCACAGACCATTAACACAATCTGTTGGTTAATCGTTCTGTTTATACTGACGGTGACATCGAGGAGTCTGTTCAATATTTATAACTACAATTCGAAATATATTTCGAAAACTGAGAGGCATTTTGGAAGTTATTGACCACGATGTAGCCATGAGAGAGAGAGAGAGAGAGAGAGAGAGAGAGAGAGAGAGAGAGACAGAGAGAGAGAGTGAGTGGATGGAGAAGAGATAAAGAGAGGGAGAAAGGGGGCAGTGAGAGGTTATTAAATGACCATTGAAACTCTCGTAAAATAGGGTGGAATGGTACTGTGCATCCACTCCTGACTGGAGAAAACGAAGGTAGTTGACAAACATGACATATTTGCTGAATCAGGCTTAACACAAGTGATGCAGAGTTTCTCTATATACCATGCACCACTGGTCTACATTGTAACACAGATGACTCAGCCGTACCACGTCATCGTTCTGTGTTCGCATCGGCTCACTTTGTATGGGAGCTTGTTTGTTAGTTTGTGCCACAGTCAAGTTCGTTTTATTATCTACGTAGATGATGGTATCTGGGTAGTTGATTTACTTCATGCAAACATATAAATAGCAGCGAGAAAAAAGACACACAACAACAACAACAACACACACACACACACACACACACACACACACACAAAATAAATTTAAAAAATGTCATTTAAATGTGTCACTGTAAGTACTACTCAGATAGCACCTCAAAAGAGAGATGTTAGGCAAAACAATATTGTCGTTAACTTAAGAATATACAGTTTACAAGTGAATATAATAATTCGATACTTGATGATACCTTCTCCTAAATAACATGCATACCATTCCCGTATATTTAGGCATCATCTTCGTAGATGAAAGTATATTTTACGTACACCAAAGTATTATCTACGTACATGCTATATTTTAGACCGTTGCACGAATATGCTTCCATAGTTCTGGTGTATGGATCTATGGACGGTCTCCGCTAGGTCACCAACTAGGCCATGTTTTCATGATATTGTTCGCCTTATACGCATCCAAACAGCTCTGGAACAGGATGGTTATGTTGGTAATTTCTTTGCCTGCTCTGGCACAGCCTGCTGTATTGGTGACAGGTCACCTAATTGCCTGCTCTGGAACGACCTGTTCACATTGGCGATGTGTTTGCCTGCCCAGGAGCAGCTTGTTCACATTGGCGATCATGTTTAAACATCTGTTCAACTATTTTCATGCAAATCAATTATTGTATAAGTATCAATCAGGTTTTCAGCCTGGTCGCTCAACTGTCCATCAATTAATTGAAATATATGACCAAGTCTGTGCGGCTTTAGATGATAAAAATAGACTTTCGTATGGTTTTCTGTGATGTCTTTTGATCGTGTGTGGCATAAAAGGTTATTGTTGAAATTAGAAAAATACTGAATTCATGGTTCATTGTCAAATTGGCTAGCTGATTACATAAGTAATCGTTCAAAAAGCGTTTTTGTAAATGGAGCCCTATCCAAGCGGAGAAATTTACAAGCATATTTCTTATTCCTTGTCTATGTAAATGATATTGCTGATGATTTAGACTGCTTGACAAGATTATTTGCTGATGATTCGTCTCTAGGCTTATCTTCTCATGATCGTCTATGGATTGAAAGGGAATTGAATTCAAACTTGGAAAGGCTGCGAGTTTGGGTAAAGCGTTGGCTTATAACATATAATCCGGATAAACCTGAGGCAATTGTTTTCTCCTTGCAAAAGAATGTTGATGCACTTAATCTCTACTTTAACGGGGTTCGTGTCAAAACAGTTAATAATCATAAACATTTGGTATTAACATTTTCAAAAGGTTGTAAATGGTCTGACCATATTGATAATATAATATTGTAAAAGTAACTGAAAAAAATATATCTTCTCTACGTAAACTAAAATGTTTATTACCGCCCTCCGTATTGAATAGAATTTATGCAATGTTTATAAGACCCTATTTCAAATATGCGTGTGAAGTATGGGATGGGTGTGCTCAACATCAAGGAAAAAAATAGAACAACTGCAATTAGAAGCAGCAAGAATTGTAACAGGTTTACCTAAATATACTCATCATATATATCTGTATTATGAAACTGGTTGGGAAACTTTAGCAGAACGTAGGAGAAAGCGCAAACTTTGTCTTTTTCACAAAATACAGAATACTATAGTTTGGCATGAAATGAATGTGGACCCGTTTTTTTGTAAATATCTCTTTATCCAATGACCCAATCGATCTCAAACTGTGCAAGTGGATATTTTGTCAGACAACCTAATCACATTGTAAATCACCGATTTTATGCATTTGTATTAAAGAATCTGTCTATGTAACTCTCAACAAAATCAACAGCAGAACGCAGAATGCTTGCAGAGGGAGGGAGCCAATGACCTGTAACAGCGGCAGTGTTGGGTCATAAAGGTCAACGTTCGTCAATGTAGGTCAGTTTGAGATCGATTGGGTCATTGGATGAAGAGATATTTACAAAAAAACGGGTCCACATGCATTTCATGCCAAACTATATGTCAGCATCGTACCTTGATGATCTTGTTCCTGGGAACGTAGCATCTAAAAGTAACCATAACCTCCGTAACTCTGATGGTGTCTCACTACCTTTCTCACCATTAAAACTTGCGCATGATTCGTATTTTCCATCCACAATTAGAATGTGGAATGAATTTCCAGTTGAAGTGAGGAAAAGCGTTTCACTGAATTATTTTAAATCTAATGTTGTTATAAAACTGCTCCTCAGTACTTTGATTTTGGACGAAGAAACGCTATCATCATCCTTACAAAACTACGTTACATGTGTAGTCAATTGAATTATGATCTATGCCGTGCTGGTATAAGAGATAACCCAAGTTGTTCTTGTGGAAATGTGTGAGAAAATTCTTATCATTTCCTCTTTGAGTGTCACCTATATACTGTACAGAGAACTGCCATCATGACTAATTTACGCAATATGACTGACTGACTGAGTTTGGTTTTACGCCGCTTGTAGCAATATTCCAACAACATAACGGCTGGGGACACCAGAAATGGGCTTCACACATTGTGCCCATGTGGGGATTCGAACCCGGGTCTTCGGCGTGACGAGCCAACGCTTTAACCATTAGGCTACCCCACCGCCCAAACGCAATTTGAATATAAACTATGAGTTACTATTACAGGGCAATGCAGATCTGACTTTTCGCAAAAATCAAATATATTTAAAATTGTTCAAACATGTATTTGTCAATCAAAAAGATCTTCCTGTTCTTGTCTGTCCATCTTGTATAATGAATGTAAATATGTAAATACTACGGAGAGGGTGTTCTAAGTCGTATAACTTGTGCCTAATCCTTTTCTCATGAATAAGATATGTTTACAACAAAACAAAACAATTCCTTTGCCTGTCCTGGAACAGCCTGTTTACATTGGCAATCATTTGCCTGTCTTGGAACAGCCTGGTCTAACTGACAATCTCTTTGCCTGTCCTGGAACAGCCTGATCAAACTGACAATCTCTTTGCCTGTCCTGGAACAGCCTGCAATATTGGCAATTCCTTTCCCTGGAACAGCCTGATTATACTGACAATCTCTTTGTCTGTCCTGGAACAGCCTGCTATATTGGCAATAGCTTTCCCTGGAACAGCCTGATTATACTGACAATCTCTTTTTCTGTCCTGGAACAGCCTGCTATATTGGCAATCTCTTTGTCTGTCCTGGAACAGCCTGCTATATTGGCAATCTCTTTGTCTGTCCTGGAACAGCCTGCTATATTGACAATTCCTTTCCCTGGAACAGCCTGATTATACTGACAATCTTTTTGCCTGTCCTGGAACAACCTGCAATATTGGCAATTCCTTTCCCTGGAACAGCCTGATTATACTGACAATCTCTTTGTCTGTCCTGCTATATTGGCAATCTCTTTGTCTGTCCTGGAACAGCCAGCTATATTGGCAATCTCTTTGTCTGTCCTGGAAGAGCCAGCGATATTGGCAATCTCTTTGTCTGTCCTGGCAATCTCTTTGTCTCTCCTGGAACAGCCTGCTATATTGGCAATCTCTTTGCCGGTCCTGGAACAGCCTGCTATATTGGCAATCTCTTTGCTGGTCCTGGAACAGCCAGCTATATTGGCAATCTCTTTGCCAGTCCTGGAACAGCCAGCTATATTGGCAATCTCTTTGTCTGTCCTGGAACAGCCAGCTATATTGGCAATCTCTTTGCCAGTCCTGGAACAGCCAGCTATATTGGCAATCTCTTTGCCAGTCCTGGAACAGCCTGCTATATTGGCAATCTCTTTGTCTGTCTGGAACAATCTGTTTACATTGGCAATTCCTTTGTCTGTCCTGGAACAATCTGTTTACATTGGCAATCTCTTTGTCTGTCCTGGAACAATCTGTTTACATTGGTAATTCCTTTGCTGTCCTGGAACAGCCTGTTTACATTGGCCATCTCTTTGCCTGCTCTGGAACATCTATTTGTATGCTCTTGTCAGCCTGCTCTATTGGCCATATCTTTACCTGCTCTTTATCCGCCTGCTATATTGGTTTGTGACTAAACACCTGTGACCTGCACACTGACAGTCCTTAACATCAATAGTTTGCTGATGTTTTCGAGCCTATCTGCTGGTAAACAGTGGATGACAACCATTATTCCTCTCTTGCAATAACTTGCCACATCAGCTTATCAGTTACAAAATGAATTGATTTTTCACTGAAATTTCATATTTGCTTCATGATGAGTACACATATAGCATGTGCGTATCTAAAATCAATGTATGGTGCACCCAAAGGGTAAAAATACTTTGACAAACAAAATCATGATAATATGAATAGAAATGGCTGTATATAGGTAAAAATCCATATGTTGCAATACTTTTTTCCATGTGTACACAATATTGACAATCCTAGTAATATGTGGAAAAATGAAAAGATCCATCCTTGTAGCATGTACATAAAAGTTTATTTCTGAACATACACTGACATATACTGTCATATTCTTATATATTACTAACACCACAAACATTTCATGTCTGGAATTACAGTAGTTATGTGTATTAACATATAAATTGCTCGTGATTCTCTAGCATTTGACTGGCTATCAACAATAAAACAAATTAGGTCAGGATCACAAAGTTGTCACAGTTTCCTTGCATTACTGAACTCAACAATATGACTGATTTCATCTTGTTATTTTCATCTGTTTCATAAGAATTGGTTTAATGGAGACTTTGCTTTGCAGAAAATGTGCTCTGTGGACCCATCAAAGTTTAGTTCTGTATGGATTTACACTGTGCACATTTTGTTTTATATTTATCCCTCAAAAACTGAAAAACTGGAAAAAGAATTTGAAGATCATACTTGAAAAGTATTGCATGTTCTTATTGACAATGGTCACCTTATAAATTCCATGAAAATAATTACATGACTACACACAAGAAATAATATGGTCTATTGTTATCATACAAACATGTACAATGCCCTGTGCACTTAAAACTTCCAATATGAACACGTCTCAGTGTTTCTATAACACCTAGTTTAACGCCATTTCAACATTATTTAAATCCTGGGGTTTCAGCTTGACACGGCTGGAGACAGCAACCGCTTTGGTGAAGCTCATGAGTGAGTGACACCAGAAATGAGTTTCACACTCACCGATGTGGGGAATCGAACCCGGGTTCTCAGCGTGACAGGCAAACACTTAACCACTAATCTAGCCCCGACGCTCCCTCATGAGTATGAGTTTAATGCTGACAAATACATGCTCATAATCAGGATGGTATCAGATTTCCATGGCTTGTCGCCTTAGGGCAGCAGGGTATGATGCACTAAAATACTGGCAGTCAAAGCATGGAGACATCAGATATGGACAAACTGCCTCAGTAAAAACAAAGACAGTTTCTCTGTGGTAACCAAAGGTATTTATCACAAACAGGTTTTTTTCATGCACGCACAGTTAGCCTGCCAAGGTGGTGCAATTTTCCATCAGTATCAGCTGTTTCTTCTTCCCAGAGCCCTTGACTATTTACAACATAAACACACAGTCCATCAGCATGGTGGGCTCACACTGCTGTACCTCTCTCCAAGTTCTGTTTAATCTCAGCTGTGTACGATCCATAGAAACGTTCCAGTTTCTTGTTGAACTTCATGTTCCTCTCATTGATGTAATCAATGTCTGCATCTTCGTCAAATGTCCGCCTGCGACTGTACTTAGATCTCTTCTCAATCCTGAAGGAATAAGAGCAAGTTACACACACACGTCCTTAATCTACTGGTACATGCACTAAAAGGATCAGACTTGGCTCTTACATCATTTACACTCCATTTTAGTCTTAGAACATAGACACGTTTTAGCTGATGTTAAGACCACACAGAATATTACTGGACTAGAGTTTTTGACTAGTGCCTAAAGTCAGACTGCTTCTGGACGAACAATGGAAATGTGTAGCTGCAGACTTTAATAAATCATTATTGATGTTCACATTCCATACATTATACATTGCTATAATAGGTTTATTTCTGAAAGTGTATACTGTCATTCAAAACAAATATATGTAATTCAGATGACAAAACACACTCCAGGCTCAGATACACATGATATTGAAATTCATGCTTCATCCTTGTCAGGATTATTACATTTATTTTCTCTTTTATGGTTCTTCGAAGTTCTACCTGTACTTTTCTAACCAGCCAATTATGAAGTACTGGCCCTAGATTTTCGACTGACTGACTGAGTTTAGTTTTACGCCGCTTTTAGCAACATTGTGCCCATGTGGGGAATCGAACCCGGGTCTACGGCGTGATGAGCCAACGCTTTAACCACTAGGCTACCCCACCGCCCCTAGATTTTCGAAGCTCTCTTAGTGTTAAGATGGCCGTCAGTGCTATACATTAACATTAACTTTAGCTTTAAAAGAACTTGAAAATCGTGGCCCTGAAAACTATTCTTCCTGACAATACTTACTAAAACACAAAGAGAAAATATGAATTAAGTTTAGTTGTTTTCTTTGCAACTTACAGTGTAATGTCTTATGCAGCTGTATTCAAGCCATAGTACATTGCAGAGTAAACAATCTGCTCTGGGCTAGAAAATGCAGTGACTGACATAATGAGCAACGACCCAACCTGTACAACAATGCTATGTTGGTTGGGACCTATTCTATTAACAAGGAAGCCCCGTGGTGTGTATGAGGACAGTTTAGATGAGGAGTAATGGTATACTGACTGTTTCTCAAGGTCCACAACCATGCGGTCCACGGCCTCCTTGGTGTCCTTCTGCTGATGCAGGCCCAGGGTGTTGGAAGTAGCGTAGAAGTCATCACCACTGTGTAGAGAGGCAGATGTTAGTGTACAACCATTAGGTATCACCTCTACAATAACTGCTGAAATTACCACCACTTTAAAAAACAGACATTGAACAAAACATACACGTGTCAAATCAAACATGCATAGAAATCTTCACCACTTTCAAAAACACTTGTGACAAAAAACTCAATATAAAGAGGGTGGAGACAAAGAAAAAGAGGCAGAGACATTGAGATTTTTTATCACGACAGATATTGTTCAATCAGTGCTTAAAGACAGCAATTTTATACTCCTAACCAAAGTCTAATGAATGATTTACAATTTTGGGGTCAGATGTGAGCTTGTTGGGGACAGAAATGTTCCTTTTTGCAATAACTATGCAGAAGTAAGTGGAGGGTACTCACAGCTTCTCCTTCTGTCTGTCAACCTCCTGCATGTTGGGCTTCATCTGCTTAGTGAGGGTCTGATACTGGCGGAATGTGGCCTGCTCATAATCTACAAAATAACAATAACGTCAGGATAAGTTTGAAATGAAGTTTCCCACTTGTATATAACATGCTACTTGTAAATACTAACTGTCTTAATAAACTATATCTCATATTATATTTTAAGGTAAATAAATGTCGAAGGAATTTAAAGGTGAAGAAAAGATAACTTGTTCCAGGTGCAGTGAAAGGCAAGTCATTGGGAGGCAGGCTGCTGTTGGGGGGAGCCTGGGGGCTTCACATTGTAAGGAGTTACATGGTGTACCATGACATAATCCACTTGATTAATCACTGTTGCAAACAAAGTGGTGGAGTATAGTGAATCAGAATGAGGGTCGTCTTACCTGCGAATCCTGTATCAGGGTTTTTCTTCTTCTTCTTCCTCTCCCACCTCTCGGCTTCGTCAGCACCGACATCCAGCAACTTGACTCTGTCAAATACCTCTCCTCTCTCCTCACACTCCTGCATAGCGAGACAGAAACATGTAACACCCACTCCTAGTGACACACACAAGCTTTATTACAACAAAACAATCATACAACTTGGCACTAGTCCCTTAGTCATCCCTCCCATAAGCCAGTTTGTCTGATATTACAGGTAAACCTATGTGGAAGTAGAATTTCAGGCTTTTAAAGGTGATCCATTTAGTCTCTGTTCAGACTAGAAAACCAACATTCCTTTGACAACTGCTGAGTTATTGTTGTCATAATTATATACTTCACAGTCATTGTAACACAATTGGAATAGTATTTATACAGTATCTGTTTCAATACGATGCAGGTTTGTTCCAACTTTAATTTCACAACAAACAGATCATGGCATTGTCAATGGCATGAATGCCAGGCAATGGCATGAATAATTTAACAAAGGGACACAACTCTGTAGCTAAATTGATGATTGTCCTGCAAAGCTGTTACCTTCTTCTTTCTCTCAACTTCCTCCTCCCATTCTGTCCTCATCTTCTTGGCCTCGAAGTTTTTGGGGCGTTTCTTTCTTTCATCCTCAGCTACAACTTCCTGGTGATTCAACTTTCTGGCTTCATTCTGTATCAAGTATACATTGACTAACATGGTGACATACGTCAACAACATAAATATTTGTTGTTGACTGCAGCATTCAGCAGTATCCCTGCCATATGACAAAACATAGACCATCGAGGCTGGACCGACCAATCCAGTGATGGCAAGTATGAACACAGTCACACTGTCGGGGTACCATGACATGCAATTTACAAAGTTATTGAATCTGTAGGGGTAACAACAATATCACTAATATATAGTGTGTGAGGAATTGTTCTTACATACACATCAGGAAGATTTATTTATTTGAATCAAGTTAATTTTCAATCATCAATGGTAAAATATGTATGCTTAGCCAGTTTTTGATACACTGACTCTCTACGCTACCTTTTTGAATGGTGACAGGTGAGGTGAAATAGGGTTTAACGTCGTACTTGAGAATATTTCGCTCATATGACAACGTGCATACGAGTGTATGTATGGCAGCTTATACTAGTCCAGACTTAAGCTGTTTTTATAGTGCTAGCTCACTGAGATAAAATGCCGCAGTTAAGCATGAATACCCCACTTAGACACATTATACTGACTCTGAGTCGACCTTGTTATACCCATTAATGCAGAATGCCAGACAGGTACCAACAAGTACCATACTTTAAAGTCTTGAAACTGCTAGTATATCTGATAAAGTGAAGGTGGTGATATCTTGTGTACTATTGTAATTGTACTATTCTTCGACAGTGGCATGATTCAAAATACAAAATCATAATGACATACTTTACATTCAATTTATAAATTTTAAGAGATGAACTTACAGTATTGTTACAGATTGAAAGGATGTTTGTTTAAACAATACAATATCATGTGATCTTGTAAATGTGCTGAAAGCTAAGATAACAAACAAACCATTTTGAGTTCCAGGTCTCGAAGTCGATTCATTCGATCAAATTTTCTCTTTGCTGATCCTTGTGCCGATGGTTTCTCAATTGTGCTGGACTGAAAATGCAATTCATTACAAAGATTACAACAAAATAAGATAATGTTTCATACATGGACAATTACACAGTGTCAAATATAGTTACACTCAAACACCATATACTGTATACTCAATGATAAGCGTATCAATAAGTAACCTTTGTCCAACTTAAGGATCAATCTGTAAGTCATCTTATTAAGAGCCCCCAACAAAATCTAAAAACATATGCAACAATCCATATTGCCTTGTGTAAAATTATGGATCTATTTTTACAGGAAACAACTGCACTAAACATGCTAAAGGGGTATAAATTTGCCACATAATATTTGATCAAATGAAGCTTCAACTATTATCAGCGTATCGGTGAAACTGTTGCCGCTCTCCACATCCGGGTATTTAGTATGTGTTTTCGACGATGTGCCATACTTTTCGTTCTGCACTGCGAGGGAGTACGTGTTGTGATCATGTGGCTTCCTATTCATATATTGCCTGTCACTAGCAGACAACTGATATTACTGAAATTTCGCTTGCTATTTTTTTAATATAGGCAGTTGATTTTGCATCTGAAGTGGTAATACAAATCTCGGGTAAATGATATTGATGTTTCTTTTCTTTTCGCCTGTAAACACCGCTTGAAATATATTCTATTTATTAGGATTATTTCGATGGTTTAGGGTTAGGGTTTGGGGTTAGAATTTAGGGTTAAGTTTAGGTTTAGGGTTAGGTATTGGCTGTTTATAAAAAAAAACATTGGCGTGTACTATTCTTAGGCATAGAATGATCAAAAATAAATAGGGGGGTTACGGGCGGAAATCTTTCCGTCGTGACACCATAGTTTCTAAGATGATTTTCATGAAGTTAGTGATGTGACTGTGAAAACGTTAATCATTATAAAATGTCATCCTATATGTTATGCTGTGTGTGGATAACGTAAATAGGTAAAACAACGTCTCGTTATACTTTGTTTTCCTGTTTATCACAGATCCACCAGATAATCGTTATCATTTAGCCTAAATGTCAGGAAAACAGTGTAGAATTGTCCGAATGAATCCAATATTTTGAAATCCATCTTTGGTTATGTTGTGGTTTATTAAGTTAGGTTAGAAAGTACACACCGAAGCCATGATTTCTTTGGGGAAGACTGCAAGCTCAAAATGTCACTTTTCTTTTCACGACTGTGTTTCCAGAGCTCCACGCACCATTGATATCACTCGCCAACGGATTCGTTTGCGGTAAATGAGAGAGCATGTGATGTTTAGAGTCTTAACCAGAACTATTTTCTTGGAAACCGTTTTCAGAAACGGGATTCAGAATACAACTGGAAACAGTTGATTGGTTTATGACGACACAACCATGAAAATAGAGGGCATAACACTATTTTGTCTATTTCTAAAATATTATGCTCGCATGTGCAATGAAATATTTGTGAACAAATGATTAGACATTTTCTTCCCAAAACATTGAATGATAACACATTTAAAGACAAATTTGAGATGACTTTGGTATCCTTGCGCTGTTCTCAAACGTAAACTTCCGGGACAGAATACGCTGTGGTTGTCAAAAGTGTTTCACCATCTTCCATGAGTATGGATCTAATAATAGAAGTATAGGTTACGATATTCTAAGAATATATATGTTGTGTAGTGTTTACTACCCAAAACGTGGCAGTTTTGTGTGAGTGTCAGTCAGCACATCAACTCTCACGAGCATAACGCTACAAGCCTTGGTTGACTTAGGTTTTACTTTTAATCCAATCCATTTTTTTCCATTATGAATTTTGCGTCACCATATATTTACGCATACGTAGAGCCAGAGTTTGAATTTGTGTCTGACGAAGAATATGATCATGGAATGGATGTGAGGTAAGGTTGTTTTATACTGTCATCGAGATCTTTGTTAGCATGCAGCTATTATATTCATGAGATTTTGATATGTGTTAAAGTTCCTTACTTTATGTTTGGAATGCACATGTCACTAGCTTTCTCTGAAACACAAGCCATCATCCAATTATTTACATATGCTGTTATAGCATGAGTAAACACAGCCACCTGAAAACACATTGAATAGTGTATAGGAGTACAAATACAGGAGGGTTATAGCTAAAACGGCACCACAGCAGAACGGCACCAAAATCGTTTGACGAAAACGGCACCGTATTGGCGAAAACGGCTACTGATTTCTGAGCTAAAACGGCACCATATACAAAACACAGTATGATGTTGACTTTTATGTTTTAGTTCGTTTAATTATAACATCAGAATCAACATATAAATAACACAGTATGACGTTGACTTATGGTTTTTATTTCATTTCAACATTAGCAAGATTATAACACGTGATATAGCTAGAATATTGCTAAAAGCGGCGTAAAATCATAACTCACTCAATCACCCATTACATTAAAATAACAAGATTATAATAAAGACGAGTGAGGCATTGTGATGAATGATATGTAATGTGTACATTCTTGCGTTTTAAATAGTTTCATTTTGACACCGAGTTTGGGCGATTTGAGTTGAGTAAATGTACTTAAAACATCAAAGGTTGTGATGTTTTTACGCTTAATTTACAGGCTTTTCCAATCACTCTCTCGGCACAGTAGATGTTTTGACCATCAAAACATTCTACAAGCCGATTATCCGTCAGACTCATTCATTATCTAAACATACTGGAATCCGATTATCAGCTAACACAAACTTTCCAGAGTAGACGGCTTCCAAAATTCTGTATTCAGATTATCTAATGACAAATAAGATGTTCCCAATAATTAGGATTTATTTGGTGCCGTTTTCACCATAAGATTTGTAGCCGTTTTCGCCAAGTCGAGGTTCCGTTATGTCCAAATGGTGCCATTTTCGCCTGGTGCCGTTTTGCTGTGGTTCCGTTTTAGCCTGCACCCATACAGGAATTGATTAAGCCTTTTCCAAGGGTCAAAACATTAACTTCCTAAGCTGTGTATAATTCATAGTCTCTGCTTTATTCAAAACTATGGACAGATGTGGGTAACAGTGTTATTGTTAACAACTGATATTCACGTTTCATCCATGTGAGTATTACCATTGTTTACCTTTGGGTCATCAGCAGTATTGCAGTGTTTAATATTTTTCAGCTCCTCTGGTTCAGATGATGATGAGGCAGATGGCAGCAAAGCGGCTCCAGCCCCTTCATGTGTGTATATGATATGGATAATACCATCTTAATGAACACACTCTGGGTATAAAGAAATGATAGCTAAATTATTAAAACATTTTAACAGCCTTAATGTTCATTTGGTGACCAATGTTCACTCATGTTCACTTGACCTGCTATGTTCTCCTTCAGCAGTTCAGATTTTGCGATTTTATTGAGATTGATGGGGACTGTAAATGGAAAACCTGTCATTAGTTTGACTGAAACTGGCATGTAATTGAATTATTGAATACATTTGAACACCTGTTGAATACCAGAATGTATAGTAGTGAAGCCAATTTCCTTGAAGAGACTTCTCGCATGTTTTCGTACACAGGTTCAATCCCACCACCACCACCACCAGCACCTCTGGGTGCCGCACAGAAGAGGGGCAAAAAAAATATTCTCTTGGAAGAAAGCTTGTTCTACAAGTAAGTTGGTTCACAAACGGTTCAGATTGACAGGATTATAGTTGATATTGTTTTGATTACAATGATTTCTTTTTTAACCATTATTATTACTCACATGGTCAACGTATGGCTAGGTGCATACTAATTTCGTACGTCACACGAGTGTTGAGTTGACCTGTGCCTTAACGACTTGACCTGAGATTCTAACGATTTGATTGGATAACTTTGTGACGGGACTACTTTCTCATTCATTACAAACACGTGAATTAATTCATTCTACAACGTTTACTACGTCAATTAAGTTACACGCTTTACATTATAATAGTGAACTTCATTGCACTATACATGGTGGTAGAGGGAACTGTATTGCTTTTCTAAGATGCCGAATTTAATACGTTAAGACGCACATTACCAGGAAAACAGTTTGATGATGGTTTGATGTTTCCGCCTGTGATGTTAGCCGAGTGAAGCAACTGCAAACCAAGAAACGGGGTGCTATAGAGTACAACTGACAACTGACATGCATTGTGACGTCGGTTACCAAGGGTACCTTTGATAACGAGGGAGCAGACGAGAATGCCGTAGTGACATCAATACAGTGTGACGTCATGCAAAATTCTTTCGCAACCTCTTTATGAAACCAGTTTCGGTTTGAAAGCATAAAAACAACAAAAATACGCTATCTTGTCGATTTGATGCAGGTAAGACGTGGGTAATAAATAAAATACCACACTCAGTCTCATTACATACGAATAATACGAAACTCGTGACTTTCCTATGGTATGGTACCATTGGATGGACACTCGTTTAATATAAATTGTATGTAATGAGACCTCATGTAGTATTCTCTATATATTGCTAGTTTCAAACAAAGTTGGCAGTGAATATATCATTGAGCTTCATGACTAAGTTGCATATCCACCATATTTTGTATTCAGAGCAGAACTCAGGTTTATTGTTTTACGTGGGTTGCCCCATGGGAGGTTTGCCCCTTTGGCATGCCAACAATGTATGAGCATGGGGTTCATCCTCATTTTTCAAAATAAACTTAGGTTTGTCAGTAACCTAGCACCATAGCTGTTGTAGACATCAAAGATCGGCATCACTTTGATCCTACATAAGCCAACATGCCATGACAAAACTTCAATGCTGTTCGAGCAGGCTTAAACCACACTTACTCTTTGCATTATATGAATAAAGATATTGGTATTGCATTAATAATTCCGTGATTCTATGTGAAATTATTCTTTCATGTCTATTCACTTCAATGCTATACATATGAGTTTCATTACAAGGCTTGTACCAGAACGCCAGTGCAAAGGTGTGGAAGTCTTCTTTAGGCACTCTCACTCTTTTCAGATGACGTTACCGAGTCAGTTCGGTCAGCACCGAGGCATGCACCTAAGACACGAAAGTTTCGACGTGCAGACACCAATGTTGTGTCCATTCGACTGAATGAATTAGTTGCCCCAAGCAACATGCATGCTGGAGACCCAGTGTACTGTACTCAGTGCCAGGCTATTCTCTCCAAACTTGCACAGATTGTCTCAGATGGCACTGACAAGGTAATGATAATTTTCAGTAAAATAGTCATCCATGATGATTCCTTGAATACAGTCATCTTATCTGGTCGTTTGTGTTTTCTCAAATATTGTCAGAATAAACAAGTTTGCCCATAACTGAATCCCTTGTTAACATTCATAGTTACCTCCCCTACACAAATTTGCAGAAGCATAAACTCTTGTTATACAGTGTGCAGACATTCAACCCCCTTTATTATTGCATGTCAGGTGGAAGGATCATCAGAAACCTCACATCAGTGTCAAATGACAATTACTGGATCATATCCAAACTACTTCCAGTATTCAAGATTTCTGGTATCTGTTGTCAAGTTATATGGGGTTCCACTTTTGACCTATTCTAATAGTAAGAGCTGATGTGTGAGAAGCAGGCCATGATGGAACTATTGTAAAACATTGCATTTTTACAAAAATGGAAAAAAATGAAATTAATGTTCCAATTTTTTCTTGTTTTACGGATCCACCTGTCATATTTTTTCAAGAATAAGGGAAAAAAAATAAATAAATTTTTTGCTCAAAAAATAAAATCATAATGTTTTTATTGGCCCAAAATGTAAACTTAAAAGAAACTTTGTTTTGGATTGTTTTTTGCCCCATATACACTTCATAAATTGCCAAAACTAAAATACTTTGAGTATTTAGAAGGAATATAACTTTGACTGGTGATTTTATTTTTATTTTTTTCCCTCCTGCCTTTAGGTTTTCTGATGCCAAAAAATCCATAAAACAAGTAATAAAATTGGTCTGGCCTTATGAAAAGTATACTAATGGGGATGGAAACGTGAGCTTTTATGTCACTTATTGTTTTATTTTGTGTGTTACACAGGATTTCAGATATTGCATATTGTTTCATATCCTCAAAATGCAATAATGAAGCAATCTGATCAATCATTCAGGGTCAGCATAGCTTGAGAGATCATGTACAATTGTTAGATTTGATATTTTTCTATGAATTAGGTGTGGCAGTGCAACTTCTGTGGTGAAAGAAACCTTGTTGATGTGGAGGAGGAGGAGATTCCTCAGATGGATGATGTCACATTCCTGATTGAACCTGCACCAGCCACTCAAGCAACAGGCCTCAGTGGGAGAGAAGAGTCACTGGTGATCTTCTGTGTGGATGTGTCAGGAAGCATGTGTGTCACTACAGAGGTATGTCACTACGATGTCTTACTGTGTTGGGAAGCAATATGTGTTGATGTCTTAGCAAGCAGTCTTTGTTGATGTGTTGGGAAGCAGTGTGTGGCACTACAGAGGTATGTCACTACAATCTGTACTGTGTTGGCGAGGAATATGTGTTGATGTATTGTTGTTAAGAAGTGTGTGTTGATGTGTTGGAAAACAGTGTGTGTTGATGTGTTTTCAATATGTATATACATTAACAGTATGGCTGGTGTGTTGGGAAACAGTGTGTGTTGATGTATTAGGAAACTTCACTTCAGAGGTATGACTGTAAACTTTTCTCTAAGCCTCACTTGTTTGATCACCCATACAACTTACCAAAGCCCAAACGGGGGCATGCAGCACGTTCCACTACCTAACCACGTGACCACATCTCTTTCTTGTCGTGTGTCAGTTTGGACGTTCTGTAAGCTTGAGTTATATTTCTGTTGTTCATTATGAGCAAAATGGATACTCCACCAAGGAAACGTAAATTCTAGGGCTGCACAGTATTACCGGTATACTGGTAAACTGCAATACGAAATTGTAACAATTACGTATCGTGATACGTTTATGATGTACCAGTATATACTGACAAATATTGTTTTATTCAACTATAACTCACATAAAGTGATCTTGTTCATCCTTTTACCAAGAATACATTGTCATTGTGAAAAACAAGGACAAAGCTATCCTCCTGTCACTTCCTTGCCATGATGTTATAATGGATGTTGTGACCCGCTGCAATAGTGCCTATGGCATGATGGCAAGATTCCTAAAAAAACCAAGTGCTGTCCTTATGGTGTCCTGATGGACAAAAAAAAAGGGGCAAGTGCAAAGGTGATTTGGCCACATTATCTGACGAGGAAGCTTGATTGGCAGAAGATGTGATAAAGTTCTTGAAACCGATGAAGGACATGACCACAATGCTATGCACAGAAAACTCCCCTACTGTGTAAGTCATCATGCCATGGAAACATCATTTGATGAATGTTGCTGTCTTTTCTCAAGATTACAACTTTCCTACAGTTGCTGAAATAAAATGCATAGTGGCAACAGATTTACAACCAAGGTATGTGAAACAAGCAGAAATGCTGTACGTGGCCTCAGCTGTTGATCCAAGATGCAAACATGTTCCTTTTGTCTCAGATGAAGAAAAATATGATGTTTTCGGAAGTGTCACAGCACAAACAGAAAAATAACAGAGAAAACCAACAAGCCTGTTATCCAAACTGAACCTGAAACAGGTGACAAAGATCCACCATTGATTAATTTGCCAGACCTACACCCGGACGAACCAGTGAAAAGAGTCTGAGAATACATCTCCTGCCACTGAATCTAACAGCGAGGAACCAAAATCAAGTCTTCAGCAGCTCATTCTTTGTTCTTTTTATTATGGATTTTTAGAACTTCTTCACTTGGTTTCCATACCGACGCATTGGAATACTGCCACCCTATGTGGTTGTATAGACTTTGACGAACAGTCTTGTATTGCGATGTGGAAGTGTTAGACTTTCTCGCTTACCTTCCTCTACTCTGCGGAGCAATTACGTCAGTGAAGTAAGTCCCTCCCAAATTCCAGTGGATTTCGTTGCGTTCTGACTCCTAAGTTGCCGGGCACATCCTTTGACTAAGCTTAAGTAAAAGAGTGAGGGTCAATTTGATGTTGTTCCGGAACTGAACGTTAAAACTTGTGAGTTTCTGAGTTGTATTTTCCTTTGACCCGCCCTTGGTCGGTGTTTTGGGGGTCTTCTCGAAGCAGGGGCTGGCCCGATTCCAAGTCCAACGACTTGAATTACGGGGCTACCTTGTAAATAGTGGCGAGGCCTACTTGCTGAGTTACGTCCTTTCGTTTTTTACGAAGGTTGCGGTCAAACACCACATAGCTTGGGTGCACCCATCTCCCTGGGAGTCATTGTGCTTATTAGACCAAGGGGTTCAGGAGGACCCATCACAAGCATAGGAGTTGCATGCATGCGTAACAGGCCTCCTTTGTGCATCGCTATCTACGGTTGTTGACAGTTTATACAGCTTACTGTTCGTACTGTCAAGACACAGGGTAATCTGTGGCCCGCCATCCAACCATGGATAAGTGCAAGCTGTGAGATAGGATAATTTTTAAAATTTGGAAATTTTAACTATAAATTGTATATTTATACACTTATCCTATCTCACGTGATGGATGACCGTCCAGCCTTCCCACTACTCAGATTACATTGTTGGCTCCAAGAGCGAGAATGATGGCTCAGAGGTGGCCATGTGGTTAGGTAGTAGAGCGTGCTGCATGCCCCGTTTGGACTTTGGTAAGTTGTAAGTTGTGTATGGGGGATCAGACAAGTGAGGCCTAGAGAAAGGTTTATGGTCGTTTCCACTCTGTGTCGGATGAGGAATGAGAGGTGCAAGGTGAGATAGGATATGTATATATATATACAATTTGTAGTTAAAATTTCCAATTGTGTTTGGAATCAGTGTATGCCCATGTGTGTTGGTAAGCAGAGTATGTTGATACGTCAGGAAACAATACAGAAGTGTCTGTCTTTAATCAAGCCATTCATATAGTGCCCTGTTACTGCACTATTTGTAATAAATTTACTCACAACATAATGCAACATTTTGTCAGTTGTACTGTGACACACATTTTATCTATTGGTGCATCTGTGCTTGTCGTGATGGCAGGTTCCGGGCAAACTGAGACTCCGTGGTTCCGGTGGACTGAAGAGAATGCAGAGTCTAAACGACAGTCATGAGGATCAGTATCTGCCTCGTCAGAAACGTAATGTAACCTATGTGTCCAGACTTCAGTCTGTTCAAGCTGCAGTTGATCACCAGCTTGAAGAAATGCAGAGAGATCACCCTAATCGTAGAGTTGGACTCATCACATTTGATAATGAGGTACAGTTACTATCTCTGATGAGCAACTTGTAGGTGACATGTTGAGTAAATAGACACAAATGTAAGAGTATCATTACTAGTTTATCAGTTGTTATTTTGAGAATTGCTGTGGTTGTTTTATGCCACATTCCGCAACATTCCAGCTGTATAACAGTGATGTGTTACCAAACAAGTTTGGACCAGACAATCCAATGATTGAAAACATCAAGAGCAATCTTTGCCTTTGTGATATGATGATGTGCATCAACCAAGTTAGTGAGCTCGGATACCCATTCCTGTTAGTGACTGGTGATATGATCATTTTGATGTCAATGTTGGGTTAATTTTGGTTTAATGTTTAATCTCCAATCCAAGGTTTCGTGGATAAAGCATCTACCTGAATATCAGAAGGTCTATGGTTCCATATCTGGCTACATCATATTAAAAGACGTTATATGGCATTGTTGTTATGCAGCCTGTGCTCAGTATTGATGAGATACAAACAAGGACTGGTTGGCTCAGTGTCAGCATCTGAGTCTGGCGCCGGTATGTTAAACTGGAAATCTCAGTGGTGTGGTATCTCAGTGGACAAGCACTGTAAAGCTGGCTTTTAGTCTGTACTGATGAATGCAGCCCCATTCATGCCATAAGGCAATCTAAACACACACTCAAGCACACAAACAAACCAACACCCACCCACATGTTCATGCTTGTTGCTGTAATTAAATCCAGGGGTGGAAATAACTTTAAAATTGCTAGTGTACTCTGGTACAGTGGCACATGTAAAATCACTTGCCCTGATAATTTTTCCACTATACCGCCCGTTTTCTTGTTGATTTTTTAAATAAACAACATAATTAACGTTGGAAAGTCAACTGGACACCGGTACAGTGTGATATACAAATTTGCTTGCCCAACAGAAAAAAACACTGGACTCGGACGTCAGGCAATGGGTTATTTCCAGCCCTGAAATCCCATTTGCTCTCATTTCCTGCGAACATCACGGTGGATTGTCATGATTGAATTGTTAACAAGATCATAGTCACATTACACCAGTCTACGGGAACCAAATGTTTTAGTTATTTTTTTGGCGATTTTAGGGTTGTAAGGTTATATGTTCATACTTGTAAACTGTGGTTATCTTGTAGCACAAGGTTCAACAGTTTCTGTATGTGTATGTTGTATGTGCTCGGTAACCATGACACCATGTCGGTGTTGTCTTCTAGGTGACTGTTATTGGGGACGGAACTGAAGAGGAAACATCCGTTGTTGGGGACAAACTGACAAACCGGGAGGTGCTCGTAAAACTTGGAAAAGACCTAAACACACCGAAATCCATTAAGGAAACTCGAAAGTGTCTTGGTGATAAACTATTCAGGTATGAAAATATTATTGCACTGGAAACATCATGTAAGAGATTTGTTTATGGAACATTTGTAAACACCCTGTCAGTAATGTATTAGTAAGCTGTTGGCAATGTTGATGATTGTCTGCTTGAAATGATGACAGAACCGCCCATTCCGTCATGTTACTATAGTTAATCTGTCATGTCAAAAGAGCTACTGTGAGTGATGACTTCAGTTTTGTGGCTTTAATACATTTTACTTCCTGGATAAAGGCGTGTTACATTCTTTTTCAGAAAAAATCCTCCTTGGGGTACATATAAGCATTAAAATGTCCATTTTGAAAACCTACAACAGTTGAAACTATATTTTAATAAAAATATTTACAAAACAAAAAACAAGTTTTTGTCTTGTGAGACCACCCCTACAGGGCCCCTTCAGGGCCCCCTACAGGCAAGAGCAGGTAACTCTAGCCGTCAACCTCGCACCTCACTTTTCATGCTGTCGTTCATTACAAAAGACGTGTGTGTGTGTTCATCGAAGTTTTGCTACTTCTACCTACGGAAATGAGTGGTAAAGAGTCACCTGCTGTATGTATGGTTCCTTTTCTTCCGCACGGACACTAGATGGAATTTATAGGCTCAACTTTTCATTCATAAATTGTTGTTACTTTGCCAGTCGGGTTCCCATTTCCAGCCATGTGGCAGGTAAGATGGCAGACCGGGTGGCTTACATTCGTTCCTTGTTGTGTGGCGCTTGGCGTTCACAAAACTAGGACGGTTGTATATATGTTTACCATAAGCTAGTTCTTCCTCTTCGGCTGTTAACGGAGTGTGTGTGTGTGTGTGTGTGTGTGGGTGGTGGGGGTGGGGTGGGGGTCTGTAGAGGCAGGGGATTGGCTCACGTCAATCAACCTCAAAGACGCATACCTCCATGTCCCAATGCACCCCAAGTTCAGGAAATACCTCCGGTTTTCCTTCGACGGGAAGTGCTATCAGTTTCGTGTGCTCCCGTTCGGCATCTCCACTGTGCCAAGGGTGTCCACAAAACTCATGCTGGTGCCAGCTCAAGTCGCCAGGACACAGGCGACTGGCTTCTCAGAGCACTCGCCACCCACTTGAGTCGGGATTCCACACAGACAGTGATGGATACTCTCACCAAGTTGGGTTGGATTATCAACCTCAAGAAATCAGAACTGGTTCCGACCCAGGATCTGGATTTCTTGGGAGCGAGATTCGAGACACAGCAGGGATTAGTCCCTCTGTCTTGGGACCACATTGCCAAAGGCCAGAGTTTACAATTCCTTCAGACTCCCAAGGCCTCAGCTCGAACATGGCTTCAGTTGCTAGGCAACATGGCGGCTACAGTGGACATAGTTTGGCGTGTGCGTCTGAGGATTCGACCGGTTCAGCAAGCATTAGCACAGCTTGTCTCACTCGGAGAGCTACAAGACGATTCTAGTAACTCCGAGTGGCTTATTCCTCACTTGCGGTGGTGGACTGACACAGGGAATCTATCCAGGGGTATACCGCTGGAGACCCCGGTGCCGATGCTCACAATTCAAACGGAGGCATCCCTCACAGGGTTGGGGGATGTCCTGGGGGACATCACAGCTTCCTGCCTTTGGTCCGAGAACGAGGCGACCCTGCACATCAATGTGCTAGAATTGAGAGCAGCCTGGTTGGTATTCGAACGATTCGTGGAGCAGGTTCGGAACCGGGTGGTTCGTCTAGAAATGGACAACCAAACGGCGATGTCCTACATCCTGAAGCAGGGCGGTACGGTGTCTCCCTCATCACTCCTTCAGGAGGCATGGCAGTTTCTACTGTGGTGCGATCAGTTGAGCATACGGGTTATGCCTGTTTATCTCCCAGGGGTGGACAACGTTCGTGCAGATGTGCTCTCAAGTCGTATTCTAGCCCCTCACGAGTGGTTACTCGAAAGGGTAGATATTCGGGATTATGTCCCAGTTTTTCGGGTCGTTCCAGGTGGATCTGTTTGCCTCTGGGGTGACGAACCAGACTCCAGTGTTTTGCTCCCGGATCCCGGATCCGAGAGCGATCGCCTCCGATGCCTTCCAGCTCGATTGGACGGACAGGGTTCTGTGGGTTTCCCACCGATACTACTGATCTCCAGGGTCCTATTGCAGCTAGTCACTCAGCCAGGGTGACTACTTGTGCTTCTTGCACCTCTTTGGTCGTCTCAGTGCTGGTTCCCGGTAATACTCAGGTCGCTCGTACAGCCACCTGTACTATTACCAATTCGTCCAGACCTTCTATCCCAGAACGGTCAGCCACACCCGGATCCCAGGATTTTGGTGGGTGGCTTGGCCTCTGTCCGGAATCGCCTCCAAGCGAGCGAAATTCCTGCACCAGTTGCAGACACAATTCTGGCTTCGGGGAGGGATTCGACTAACGTACAGTACCAGGATAGATGGGCCTGTTATGCGCGCTGGTTTGGAAACAGAGGGATTCTTGATCCCTTTTCTTCGACTGTAGTCAAGATGTTGCAGTTTTACAGTCTCAGTTAGAGATCGGCCTAGCCGCGTCTAGTATCCGAGGCTACTCCATGGCTATCTCAGCCTTCCACATTCCTGCCGAGGGTGCTCTCTTAGGACAACACCCCCTGGTACAGCGTTTCTTAGCAGGCGTGGACAGAGTGTGTCTGGCCATCCGACGGACGAGTCCCACATGGGATTTGTCCATCGTTTTAGATTGGATGTCCAGTCCCTCTTTTAATCTGTCGGATTTGTCTCTCCACCTTTTAAGTTGGAAAACGGCATTTTTAGTGGTGGTCACATCTGGTAGACGGGTCGGTGACATACATGCTATGTCATCGGATCTGGAACTTACCATTTTTCATAAGGATCTGACTCCTACCGCCCTTAGATCGCTAGCACGTTTCATGTAACAGCGTCTATCGATATTCCCGCCTTTACGCTTCCTGCTTCGTCTCGTAACACGAAATGCCGAGTGCAAGTGTTAGACATACGCAAGACACTTAAAGAGAACGGCATCTCTCCATAAGGAGAAACAGCTATTCTGCTGCTACGGCGGGGGCAAGGCTGGTCATCCGGCTACTACACAATCTTATCAAGATGGATTGTTTCAGCAATTTGTATGGGTTACATACATAAAGGCCTATCTCCCCCCGATGGGGTTGAAGGCTCATTCGGTTCAAGCAGTAGCAACCTCCAAGGCGCGTATGCTGCTGCTCTGCCCATTGAGGAGATCTGCTCCGCGGCTATATGGAGCCGACCGAGTATGTTCATCCGTCATTACCAGTTCGACAAACATTCGCGTGAACGTGCTCGGTTTGGCCAGACGGTTCTCCACAGTGGACAGAGTAACACCTCTCAAGCCGATTGAGCTTTCCAGATGATGTTCTCTGTTTTACACTTGGTGTCGGGTTTATTACTTCCCCCAGTATCTGGTGGTGGTTTTTATTCCTGCTCTACTTTGGTATATCGGTGCCTAGCTGTGTGCTATGGACAGTAGTTTGTTTTGGCTAGTTCCCCGTATTTACACACCTCCAACCCTTAGGTTGGGGTGGGTGGGGTTTATTACTGGGGGGGTGACACCGATAAGCCAATCGGCATATAGGCTTTGACAATCCCGGTCCTTCCCCCCCCCCCCCTTGATTGCCATCGATTGGTGGTCAGGTGACTAGGTAAGTGTAATTTTTCATTTCCGTGCGGTTGTAGATTGTTACTTGAATTGGATCACTTTGTCAGACAGAATACCATTCCTAGCTTAATTGTCTTTGGGAGTCTGTCTTATGCTTATATGTACCCCAAGGAGGACTTCTTCTGAAAAAGAATTATACAAACCTGTAGAGGTTTTGAACTCTTTGAAGAAAGTCCTCCTTGGGGTACGGCCATCCGCCTCCCCTAATTCTGTCTGATCCGTTCACCATGAAAAGTGAGGTGCAAGGTTGACGGCTAGAGTTACCTGCTCTTGCCTGTAGGGGGCCCTGAGGGGCCCTGTAGGGGTGGTCTCACAAGACAAAAACTTGTTTTTTGTTTTGTAAATATTTTTATTAAAATATAGTTACAACTGTTGTAGGTTTTTAAAATGGACATTTTAATGCTAAAATGTACCCCAAGGAGGACTTTCTTCAAAGAATTCATAACCTCTACAGGTTTGTATAAATTGACTTAAATGGGTGCTAACTTTGAACAAACTGGCAGTCCTTATTGTCCTTCCAAGTTTGATTCAAGGCACTAAAACAACACTTACTTTGTATAATTATTACTAACTTCTTTGATTGGCATTCTAGAAGTTAGGTAGATGAAGAATGAGGACTATTTTTATGGATATACAACTTCTTTATTCTGTATAGATGACGACATTAGAATCTTATGTCGAAACATCGCCTCATTACTAATGCTTGGATAAGTGTCAGACTAGCAGTCAATGGTTACTCTTGAACATTTTAATGGTGTTTCTGAACCCTGCATTAACCTGGTCATAGTTCTGTTTTCATGCGGATTGTTGATGTAGTTTATATGTTGCATCCTGTTAGTCTTGAGGAGGGAGGAGCCACAGCTCTGGGACCAACACTTGTTATTGCTGTTGCCATGGCATCTCGACACCCTGGGTCAAAGGTGATCCTCTGTACAGATGGAATGGCTAATGTTGGGATGGGGAAGCTGGATGACGCGACACCAGACTCTGATGCAGGCAGTTTTTATGAGGGCATCGGTGCACAAGCTATGGAGCAGGGGTAAGCCATAGTGACAAGTAACCTTGACAAAGCATAGAGAAATGCCTTTGTGTTAAGATCTTTCATCTGTGGTTGGTACTTTGTAACTTTGTAACCTTTGTCATGGTTGGTTCATGTGTTGCTATGTTCCAGTGTGTCTATCTCTGTGGTGACCATCAAGGGAACTGACTGTAAACTTGTCGAGCTGGGGAAGTTGGCAGATAAAACTGGAGGGCAGGTGAGTGCTTTTTTAAAATTTTGTCTTTGAGACAGACAAAACATCAATACTTTACATGTTCATAAGACATGGGCTGGTTCCTTCCGGAGGGAAACCAGAGATACTGGTGCCCAAACTGCATCTCACCAATTGCAATATTTCTCTAGGCTAAGATGATGTTGTTTAGACAGTAAAATTCTGTGGTGAAAAATTCATCCAGATTTCTTTGAAATGTTGGTGTTGGAAATGTTAGAAATGAACAAGGACTGACTGAGTTTGGTTTTACGCCGCTTTTAGCAATATTCCAGCAACATCACGGCGGTAAATGAACAAGGAGGATTGTGATGTATTTGAGCACAATTCGTAAACTACAGTAAACTGGGGTTATAGCCAACTCAAAGTTAAGTTTTAGTTCATTATAACCATAGTCTGCTTCATGCATTTTAACTATAATATACAGCATGTGGACAAATAAAACACATTGATATATCCGTCAGTTTGTTAATAACTTTTACAGATGTTGTTCACTGAGTTTCTAGTTTAATGTGGCCCCTATACTTTTTGTGTAAGACTTTTCCTCACTTCATACATGTTTCATATGATATTCATCCCTTGTGTTCTGCAGGTGAACATTGTGGATCCTCTGAAACTCACTCAGGAGTTCAGCACTATACTGGCAGATCACATCATTGCCACCAATGTGGTGGCCACGTTCAACCTACACAAGCAGCTGTGAGTTAGCATTTCTTGTTGTACAGCCATTGGCCTGAAGTATAGCCATATATAATTCTTCATGTGGTTTTGTCATGCATCGTTGTTACAAGAATAGTTAAAGAGTTGTGCTATTTCACACAACGTTCAAGTACAGTCATTTTGTGACGCCAACATTTTCTGTGCAGTTAATCCCTTGGGCATGCCAGAAACCTGTAATCGTGGCTTTTAATCCTGGTTTGTCAGTATCACGTTTATAGGTTTGTCAGCCCCATTCACATATCATAAGTTCATTAGGATATTTTTTATGTTGTAGAGTTAAAAAATAGGAGGGATGGCCAAAGTAGTCACATCTAGAGTTTCAGGCTATGTACATGCAAGCTGAATAGAAGGGAGTTGATAGTTGGCTGCTGTTAGCAATATACCAGCAACATCTAGGCTGGGGACCCCAGAAATGGGTTTCACACAATGTACCCATGGGGGAAATTAGTACCTGGGCTGTTGGTATGGCGAGATTTAACCTCTAGGCTATCTCACAGTCTCTCTGGTCATGAAACCAAGTCTGGATAATTGTTTGGTTACTTATAACTTATTTTTTATGAAATGTTGAATGTGATCATAGTGGTAGTGTACTGTGATAAATGTATTAGAACATCATTTCAAGATGAAATATCTTGAAATGTTGGTTTGGATTATATTCACGCTTCCTTGTTAAACCAAAGGTAAAGAACTGAATGGAGAGCAGCATCAGTGTGTGTTAATGTTATGTATGGATGGTGTATATAATGGTAGACATTCCATGCCAAGTTTATGCTTACTTTGTGTTTCTTTAGGTACATTCATCAGGAGCATGACGACAAGAAGGAGAGTCGAGCTGTGCGGGAAGTCGGCAATGTAACATGTGATACTGAGATCACTTTTGAATATGGTATCCGACCTGAGACAATGGAGAATAAAGCAGCCAGCAAGGACAAGATGCTCTGTGAGTAGGGGAAGTTCAGTTGTTTAGTGTGTCAATACTTTATTGACCTGTGTCAAGATGTAAATTTCTACAAGGTCTTTAAGAATGGATATTCTGAGGATTGAAACACATGTACCCCTGTCATCTTTGATGTTCAAGTGGTAAATTTCAGTCTTTGTTGTTTTGGACTTAGCTGTTATGTTAAACTATGATGACTAAAATACTGTTGATATTGGCAAAAATACCATCTTTTTCTCACTATATTTTTATTTTCTTCATAGCTAAAGTTGTGGAGGAAGAGAAGAGAGAAGCTAGTGCTGAAGTTGGTGCTGAAGCTGTTCCTATGCCTCAAGCTAATGCTGTGGCTGAAGCTGGTGCTGTGCCTGAAGCTGTGTCTCGTGCTGACTCAGCTGCAGATGTTGAGGTCACTGCCACCTCATCTACATCTGCTGGAGAAGGTGCAGAGCAGAAGTCAGTTCCAGCAGAGCTTCCGTTCCAACTACAGATCCGATACACAGACACTGAGGGCATGAAGGCTCTGCGTGTCCTCACACAGACCAGACCAGTCACACATGACAGGGATGTCGCTGAGAAAAGTAGGTGTCTCTGTCCATGAAATTACTGTGAAGAGAAATTTGTCAATAATAAGCAGGCCAAAGTTACTTTTCTTGGTCTCGTTGGGCTTAATTTTCTGGCACTATTGGATTTAAATAAAAGGAATTGGAATTCTGCCATGTTCTAAAAAAATTACTTGTTTCTAGCCACGCAGAGGTTTCAAAGTAATCATGTCTGATGGAAACTGGTGAATTGACAGCCAGTTGACTGGAGAGCTGATATTTACTGGCAGAGTTGCAATTACAGCAATATTCATGTTATGGTATGTTGGGGCAGAACATGGTATGTTTTATTTTTATAGATGCCTAATATGTGAAGTGCTTAGTCTCCCCACTCTGAACTTACAGATGTTGACCTAAATGTGCTGGGCACCCATGCTGCTCAGAAGACTGCTAATCTTGCCCTTGATGGAGAGTACACTATGTCACGAGGTGCTGCACTCATGAACCAGCGACTGGCCTGGAGATCTGCGTATGTATACAAATACAATAGCTGATGAACTTCATCAACCCGAGCAGCCTGAAAATGTATGAACCATATGGAATGTGGTCCAGAGTAGTGACTGACATTTACAGACCAGTAAGGGGTAGCTACTGGGTGTTCACTTGAATATGAGTTCTGACGCTGCACTTGTTTTCCTCACATATGCTTGAATCACTTAAATGATGATCGGCCTGGGTATTACAAAAGTTTGTGCCCCATGAAGATTAGGGGTAGAACTGGTCTTGTGTGTAAAAGGCGACTAACAGGATCGGGTGGTCAGACTTGCTGACTTGGTTGACACATCGTATCCCAGTTGCGTAGATCGATGCTCATGATGTTGATCACTGTATTGACTGGTCCAGACTTGTTGACACACTGGAGATTTAGGAACATGTAAGGCTGTGTCTTGATTTTGGGTGACGTGACCTACATGTGAAATCAAAGTCTTTTGTAAGCAGTTAAGATAAACCCCCTTATCATCTACTATACTTTTAACATATTCTACAAAAATCTGTTTATCCAGTTTCTTGAGCATTTATGATTGAAATTTGATGAAACTGTGTATACATCATCTTCAAGGAGCTCAAGGCTGACATTGAAGGTGAATGTAATAAGACTGGAAGTGCTCAAACTTTGCTATTAAGGCCATTCATGACAAATTGGTTCATGATACAGATTTGTACCCACGGTACTAGCATCTTACTGACAGTGCAGTTTTGCTGAGGATATCAGTGTAGATAATATATGAAGTCATGTGTTGTTAAGTTAGTGGTATTTGTTTGTTGTTTCATGTGGCAGACAAAGACCAGAAGGTGGCCCCGACAAGAAAGCTTGGTACAGGAGAATCTTCAGTAAGATCCAGACTGTAGAGAACCATGTCAGCAAAGCCCAGTCGGTACGATCATAGATGGTTCCTCGTTCCAGGCATTGTCAAAACTCCTGGATGTTACAAACAGTGTCACTCACTGCTTGAATCCAATTAATGTTTATAATGATTATAATAAATGAACATATATGCAGATTCAAGACAATATGAATGTTTTCCTGACTGTATGTTTGCTAATTATGGACTTGTGTCATTTGGGTGTCTTGTTGGATACCATTGTTGTAGTTCAGGTTCATTATCTACCCATTATTCAATTCCACACAGTGTGAGTCAGGACATGACCATTGTTGCAGTATCAAAGTTTCTGTGTCATTAGGTAGATTTCCTTGGTATAGTTGTACATACCATGCACTGGTTATGAGATATTTGTGTATGCAAACTTTCTATTTTGTAATCTCTATTCTTTTATCTACATGTTTTTTGTTCTTTCAGTCTGAACGGTCTCGTCATGGGACAACCTACAGTGATGAGGAGTATGAGGATGATGAACCAGTCTCACTCACTCATGAGAAGGTCAAGAAAAAGAAAGTGAAAAAGGTGAATTAAGAGGCTAGCAATATTTTCCATTTCCCTAAATAACCTCTCCTGTGAGGCCATTACTTGTGGCTCATCTGAAATACTGATGGCCATCACTTGGGTTGATGATCATGACTTGGTTCATATCTCGTGCTAAATCTCATAAAAGATTTTGACCTTGACATTCAGGTCTTAGGGATTAAATTCTTTCTTTCAATCATGATTATAACCTTAATCTGGTTCATCTGGAGGGGTGGGGAAACCATATATCAGTGTTTCATTTCAGACCTTGTCTAAGTGACATTCAAGCTCACAATTGTTCATGACCTTGACCTGTTTCAGAGCCGAGCACGTACCTCTGAAGTGGAGGATGACATGGCTAATGCTGTATATGCTCAGTCACGCATCAGCAGCAACAGGCTCAACTGAAGGAGTCCAGTGCCTGAACACACCTTTCTTTGTGATAATTTAAACACAAATCCTATATTTGACATGGATGTTAATATTGTTTCATGACAGAGGTTGAACACTAAGCATTATATCAAAACTGTTGGATGGTAGTCACTTAACTGTCATCTAGCAAACTGATTTTTTAATATCATGGTTGATTATTTCCAGTTTGTTTGTTATTCCCTTTTTGATTGAGGGTTGACAGAACTGCTTTGGTTTATGTAGTTTTTATTTATACTTGGATTTTTGAAATACAGCTTGTTTTATAGTGCTGCAGTAGTTCAGTCATCTGTTATCAATGTTTTGGACAATTATTGTTTGTATGTATTTTTGTTTTCATCTAATATTTTTACACAATAGACTGTGATAGATTCTGCTGCATGTCTTCATTTCATATTCACATACAGAACAGTTCGAAATGAAGAAATAGACAGCAGAAACATTATGGGTTGTCATATAATATCATTGTTCCTGTTATGATGGATCATTAGTCCAGAAACCATCTCGACAGCTACTGTTATAAACATGACTAAATACACATTGGTTGCTTATCAGGAGTTTTGTTTTAGCTGTAAATACTGCTTCATAATTTTGGTATAGGATTTAGTGCTCAATTTGGGGTAATGTATTAATTTTGAAAGCTTTAAACAGTTAACTCATGATTTAGCCAAGACCGGACTTTTGGCTGCATCACTGATGTGGATATTTAAATAGGTAAGTCTCTGGTAGTAAGGAGAACTGTGCAATTGTCTCCTCAATCTGTTTAGGACAGACTTGGTTAACTTCTTGGAACAATGAATTATTCTGGAAGGAAAACAGTTGGAGGTGTTCATTATGTTCAGTTGAAGTATCTACAATGTCTACATAGGGATTTCTTGCAGAGATTATTGTAGGACTTGGACCAACTTTGTCATATGTTCTACACAATAATATCTTATTCAAGCACTCTTGCACAAAATATTTTAATTATCATAATGTTTTCTTTATTATTTCCTCTTAACTCTTATAAGGCTAATGAGACTTTACATGTTGATGTTTGATATATTTGTATGTTGTGTGTCATCTGTCCAAGGCACAACCTCCTTATATTGCTCTCGGAAGACTAGTGGTTCATACATACTCTGCTGTAAGCACCACCTGTATGATAAGCATTTCAGGAACTTCACATAGGTTTTGTATAATTCATTGGAAATGCATCATATTTGGCTAATGTTTGTCCAAGTTTACACCTAGGTACCTGCCCTGTGCCAACCTGGCTACCTGCCGAATCGGGTAATATCTCATTAGGAACTGGCAAAAACACTTAACATACATGTAAAACTATGTTCATGCATATACTGATGTAGACTGAAGCTGCCTTTAACATGTTAAACATGTACCATGTTAAAGTCAGAAGGTTTGCATGCAGGCAGAAAGAGGTGTGAACATAAACGACTGGTAGTGTAACCATGGAGTTATATTGTTTTGATTAGCAATATATCACCTAACTTTACCAGGTCTTAGTAGGCCTGTGTATACCAAGTTCCAACCTGACAGAATACCTCAGTCACCTTAGCCCAAGTAACTTCTTTGAGGCATTCAGAAGTTGTAAGATTAAGATATATGGCTGAACAACTTTGTTATTACAATCAGAAGTAATGTATTGATGGAGGTTCAAATTCAATTTTCCTGTATGTTTCATCTCTTCAAATTTTAATAAAGTGGTTGTTCATCCATATATGTTATTCTTCCCAGGCTAGCTAGTTTGGGTAAGTCCAATTTACTATGGTTTTTTTCCATTATCTTTTGATCAACTTTTGGTGCATGGATCCTACTAATACTGTAAATGTCTAGCACATGAAATTAGATTTAAAAGATTGTTTGTGTGTGACACAAGTCTGTTGTGTCTGACTATCCTGATCCAGGCCTATTGTGGGGGCATGATGATCCCATTGTTACCGTCTTTTATCTATTATGCTGTTGCTGTTTTGTTATTGGCAATATTTCTATTTTCGTACTTCATTTATGTGACACTCAATAAGACAATAAACTTAATTATCAGAGCGAGTTCTTTTTTCATTTCAGTGAAGTTGTAATTGACTACATCCAAGAGGGTTTCAGAAGAGGATTATTGATTGTGTGCATATTGTCAGAGCCATGATGGATTCCATATGCCAACTGCTTGCAGATTCTGTTAGCAGAAGGTTATGGCAGCCTTGGATATTGGAGTTATACCAAACACCCTTAGTATGAGAATTGATTGATAAGCTTTGAGCCTTACATAGTAGGAGACCCGTGAAGATCCGGGGTAGAATAGGTCTCCAGCAACCCATGCTTGCCACAAAAGGCAACTATGCTTGTCGTTAGAGGCGACTAACGGGATTGGGTGGTCAGGCTCGCTGACTTGGTTGACACGTCATTGGTTCCCAATTGCGTAAATCGATGGTCATGCTGTTAATCACTGGATTGTCTGGTCCAGACTCTATTATTTACAGATCGCCACCATATAGCTGGAGTGTGGCGTAAAACTAAACTCACTCACTACATAGTAGGAGTTGGGTAAGAGTAAAATATTGTTTTATCCATTTACATATCATTTTGGAAATGCGAGTCAACAAAACAGATTGTTTCATTGTGAAAAGTCAGTAAAATAAGAAGGGGTTTGTGACCTATGGAAAAACACTGACTTGGGAAACATGCATTGATCAAATACCAGTGCTTGCAGTAAAGGGCTTAAGACCAAAAGATATGACTCATGGGTGTGAGAATGTTGTGTGTTATGTTGATTCAGTGTGTGCAGCCGAGTCTTCATGTTGTTGAACTACAGCTGCAGCACCATTGAAAGCAATGTTATTTGCTGATAACCAGGTGCTAGGACAATTTCAAGCACATGGTGAAAGAACAAAACAAACAAAATCACTTTTGTTGTTTAATAATTATTTTTCTGATTATTTATGAAAAGGGACCTGTAAAGATTGATGTAGATACCTGATAAAAGAGTACACATGTTGACATGAACAAATACAAGACAAATGACAATGATATGGATACCCATCAGTGGAAATTCAAACATCTAACAGCACAGAAACAGCATCAGAAGTTTCTCTGATATCCATTATGAGGAAAAACACACTTGTCCTCCTCATTTGTAGCATAAAAGGACAAAGCATGATGGAATGGAAAACCTGTGAAATCCACTGACATGTACAATGAAACTGACAGATGAAGAATAATTGTATTCATGACTAGATAAGGGATCATGGACATAAAAGGCTGAGGTAGCAGGACCAGAGTTGCACTTAAAAAATGGTCCATAGACTATTCCTTTACTGACATAGTAAGGATATGGATCTATTGTTATATGATACAGGGACCATTTTTGAGTGGACATGGAAAGGTTCACAGTTCAGTACAGGATCTGGGTAATCAAATAAAATGGAACTCTGTTCTTACATTTATTTGTCAAACACTTGAATATAGTCAATATTCATCAAATTCACCAATTCATCAAAAAATACATTTTTATTCAATCACAGTAAAGTATCAATATACTTAATTTATATTTGCACACACTCATAATATACACGTTCACGTAATATTAAAATCAATGTTACAGGGTTTTACCTTCATAATTATAAATAAAACAAAATATACAATTCACATTTTGAAATTTCAAGTATTCTCACTGTGAACTAGCCCAGCATTCTGGGACACCCTTAGGGTGCTGGGATACAGGACTGGGGTTGAAACACATGGAGAAGCTCATCCCAGCCACAGTCTGCTATCTGCAAACAACAAAGAGTCTTGAGGAGAATCGAGTGAGTGAGTGAATATTTCAGCAATGTCATGGTGTGGGTCATTAGTAATGGTCTTCACATACTGAACTTGTTGAAAATCAAATCGAGGCAACTGACTTGACAAGTGAACAATTTCACACGGCCACCACAGTGACACTTGAGAACAGCAGTACGCCTTACTATCCTGAGTAGTAGTGGGTAGTGTTTGTGACCACTCGGGGCTAGTTTCACTGGCTCTTAAACCCTACCTGTCCAGGAACATGCAGGTTGAAGTCCAGGCCATACACAAACTCTGTGTGGTGCTCAATCACCTCCAGGGCCTCAGGACGAGTGTAGTCCCAGATCCTTGAATGACATAACAGACAATCAGGTGTAGCCACACTGATGCACAAAACTCTCCCGAACCCTCAATATACAGATCTAAAAAGAATTATTCTTCCCAAAAGCAACAATAATAGGGATACGGTCAAGTATGTCTGGATAACACACCTGTAAATGGACTTTCGTTAAAATATTGTTTGTTTCAATGCAGTTGGTGAGTGTTACCTAACACAACATCAAATAATATTATGTAACAGAACTTGCAATTTTGCCTGAATGTTAAAATTATTAAAATCTAAATATTTTAGATATTTAAATACTTACCTTACCATAGGTCTTATGCATATTACCTCAAGCTCCGCTTAAAGAGATCAGACAGTCGTTGATTCGCCATTCTGTAGAACGGCCACCTCGTGTATCGACGAGTGTACAGGCAACGGAAGTGACGTGATCTCCCCTCCCGAGCAAGCGCGGTCCATCCAAAATCACTTTTACTGACCAGGTCCGAAGAGCCCAGAGAGGGGAGGAGCATCCAGCGTTGGGAGGGAGTTACCGCCCTATAGTAAGGTAAGTATTTAAATATCTAAAATATTTAGATTTTAATAAATTTTTAACTTACCTTACCATAGGTCTTATACATAAGGATTCGACAGTAGGACGGCGTTGTCGGGCTCCAGAGGACCGTCCCACGAAAAACCCACATGCCAAGGGAAAACCAGAAGAAACTACTGAATCGCCAGACTGTCGCAGGAGGCGCCTGGAACAGGAGACAGATAGTAACTAAAGGCAACCCTAAGGAAAACAAATACACCCAGAGTGTAAGTTAACCTGAAGACCAGAAGGTAAGAAGAAGTAGTTACCTAATGGGGTAGGATGGGTGAGTTGCTGAGCAACCACCAGTGGACCAAACGATTGAAGACCTTCCACGCCCCTCGACGGCCAAATCCGCGAGGTAATGACTAGCGAAGACAGTAGAGGACTTCCAAAACAACCCTCCATGATGGCTGGAACGGTGCAGTTTCTGTGGAGAGCCATGGTGGATGCCAGAGCCCTAATCTCATGCGGATTAGTGGCTGTAGGATGAGGCAGATCTTGGCGATCGTGGCGGTCAGGATGGTAGTATCGAGCCAGAGCGCAAGCGTATTCTTATTAACTTCACCTTTGGCCACAGAAGACAATCGGATGAACAGTCTCTTCTGAGACTGCCTCCTGGAAGATGACTTGGCAATATAAATCTTAAGTGCCCTCATGGGACAAAGCAGCTGTTCCTCAGCGTCGTGAGGTCCTAGAATGGAAGACAAAGGAGGGATGGAGAAGATCCTATCCGGTTGTCCCGGCAGCTGGTTCTTGGCCACGAAATCCCAAAGCAGTCCGAGATGAACAAGACCATGCCGTGACTGCTCAAAACGCACCCTGGTGACATCCAATGCGTGGATCTCACTAACCCTAGCTGCTGTGGCCAGGGCCAAGAGAAAGGCTGTCTTCCTGGAGAGGTTCTCAAAAGAAGCCGCGGTCCAAGGGCTCATAAGGGGACCTCTCAGATGACGGAAGAACGACGTTTAGGTCCCAAGCCGAGGGACGGAGCTTTGCCTTCTGGTCCTCCAGCTTAAGCGCTTTGAGGACGGCTGGGCGATGAGTTCTGGCACCTTGGAAATCTTTTGTCGCGACTTGACCGCCAGAACGGAGTTAAGAGCCGATAAATAAGTTCCTATAGTGTTGCCCTTGAGGCGCGGGACTTCAGAAGAAAGAGAAGGAACTCTGCTATAAACTGAGGAGAAGCCTTCAACGGGTCCTTGGACTTCTGTGCACAAAACTTCTCAAAAGAAACCCACTTATCATCATAGAGTGATCTTGTGGAGACTCGATGAGCACGAGCAATAACCTTGGCGACACCGTGGAGAAGCCCTTGGCCTTCAGCGCCTTTGCAGATGATCCAACCAAAGACAGATGAAACCGAGTCGGATCGGGATGCCACTGTCGACTGTGGGGATGCCTGAGCAGGTGAGGCCAGTCTGGTAACTGTTCTGCGGACTCCATAGGCTTAGACGGGCGCGAGATCTGGGAACCAGGTTCTGGCTGGCCACCAAGGCGCGACCAAAAGCAGGCTAATCGTCTCTGTCCGCTTGACCCTTGCTATTACCGCTGGCAACAGAACTGGTGGTGGAAAGGCGCATACCGCCCAGACCCTCCCACGACAAGGACATGGCGTCAATCGCCCATGCCGCTGGATCTGGAATCGGAGACATTACATACGGCAGCTGTGTGTTGAAGCGAAAGCCGCTAACAGGTCGATCAGAGGGCTGGTCGTGACTGTGACAAAGAAGTTTGAACGCTTCTGGATGTAGCATCCACTCTGTTGGAGACGGTTTGCCGGCCTTGAGAGAGCCGCCTGCAAAACGTTCTTGCACCCTGGGATGTATCGGGCTCTGGCGCTGATGCCATTGTCGTCCAGGAGACTGGCCAGCTGGAACGTCTGCTCCAACAACTGTTTGACCTGGTCGCTCCCCTGATTGTGAATCAACCACACCACCGTGGAATTGTCCGGACGCTATCAGGAGCCTGGTGTTCCGCAACAGAGGCACCCAGTGTCCGAACCGCTAAAATGACTGCTCCAAGTTGTTGATGTGCCATCCTAGCTCGGTGCCTGACCACAGCCCGAGGTGGTCTGGTCGTGAGGAGGTGAGCACCCCAACCTTGAAGAGACGCATCTACTGAACAGTTCGTGATCGTGAACAAACTCTGTCAAGGAGACTCCTGCGCAGACGCTCGACTCGACAGTCCACCAACGGAGGTAAGCGTGGAGATGCAGGGGCAAAAGGAACCTCAACTGAAGGTCGTCCGCCTGGATGGAAGGCAACAGGAAGCTGTAACGCCGGCATGAAAGCGACCTCTGGCGCCAAGTCCTGGGCTGAGGTGAGGAGACCTAAGAGGGACTGCCACTCCCCTGAGCACGAAGCGGCTGATAGACCTCGGTTGGCGAAACTGACAATCTTTCTCCAGCGATCTAGCGGAATCCTGACAAGGTCGCAATGTGTCAGGAAGAAGCCTCCGATAAACGTTAGTTCCTGGGACGGCTCCAGGTGGGATTTGTCTATGTTGATAATCCATCCCAGTTGCTGCAAAGAGATGAATGGCAAAGTGCATCTGTTTTGGCGGGAAGCAACTGAGGGTCGAGGTGGTTCATGAGACAGTCGCCTATATAAGGGTCGAAGTCGATGCCCCTGAGATGGAGGAACCGGGTGATCGGCGAGGTAATCGAGTAAAAGCCACGGGCCGTGGAAATTCCAAATGGAAGCACTTTCCACTGGTAGTGGGACCCGTTGAAAAAGAACCTCAGGTACTTTCTGTGACGGTGGTAAATGGGCACATGCAGGTAGGCATCCTGAAGGTCGAGGCTGGCCAACCAGACCCTGGGCGCATGCTTGGCTCAGTAGCTGTTCCAAGGACACCATGGAAGAAGTGGCGGTTCGAAAGATAAAGGTGGTTGAAAACTGCCATGTTGTGAATCATCGTAGTTTCCCTGAGTCCTTCTTGGGAACCAGGAAGATTGGTGAGTAGAACCCGGGGACTGTCGGGGTCTAGCACTGTCTCTATAGCTTGTTTGCGTAACAGAGTGTGGATGCTGTCTGCTAGCAGTAACTGTTGGTCTGGAGCATACACACATGACTGGGGCGTTGAAGTCAGAGTAGGCGACACGGCGATTGGCAGCTTGTAACCGGTCCTGAGAATGTTGGTGATAAACGGGTCTTCCAGGATTGTCCAATTGGGCCAGAAGATCCCCAGTCTCCGCCTACTGGAGTAGGACGAACCGGCACGACTGGGGGCGGGAGGTCCCAGTCGTGTTGGGTCGCAACTTCAGCGACCGAAGTAAGGGCGCCTCCCCCTACCCCTGCCGGCGTCGTCGAAGGGTCCGGGGACGATCCTGCTGACGGCGCTGAAAAACAGGTTCGGATCTGCCACGGCCCGTCCTCTGCCAGAGGCGTCGCGGACGAGTCTCTTCGGGACGTAACGGCTTCCCTCTACCCCTTGCAGATGATCTGCCACGAAGGCCGAACTCAATGCTTGAGCGTAGACAAAAGAAACCTCCGTATTGGTAAGCTCTGCGTGTTCCTTATACACCTCCGGAATGCCGTCATTAAAGAGGAAACGAGACGCAAAAGGGGCTCTTAACAGTTTCCTTTTAAACTCTTCCTGCCAAGAACAGGGCTCCAGGAAACCCATCCGCCGAACAACCGTTGTCATGGCCAGAGCCGCCCGGAGGTGCGCCAGCAAATCATGCAACACCTTGCCCTGCCATTGAAACAGGGTGGTAAGATGTTCTAACCTTGACGATGTTGTCTTCCGTCAAATCCCAAGCAGCAGCCGGGTTGCCGAGGCCAACGCTGATACCGGCTTCAACATCCGCTGAGTTCTGCATCAATGGCCAACATCTTGGAGTCCTGCACTCGGGTAAGATGTCTGTGGGGAAGCCGATAAGCTTGAGGGACTCATCATGAGCCGCGCTTCCATCGGCAAAATCCAAACTATGAATCTTGTAGTCCCTTTATGTGACTTAGGAGCCTTAATAGTGGTATTGAGAGACAAAGTAGCAAAATCAGCGTCCAAAGAAGCCACAGCATCGGCCACCATCGGGTGAGGCGGGAGGAGTAACTCCGGAGAAGACCGAATAGCCTTCGGGTCGGCCGAACCTGAAGAGGGAGAAGGACAATCCGGCAGTCTGTCGGCAATCCAGTCGAACACAGCAGAGAGAGGGAGGTAGGTGCCCCCATCATCATCATCCTCTTGCAACATTTCCTCATTATAATCTGGAGAAAAATAGCACTCCTCAGTGTCCTCCCAGGACATGGTAGGAGCAGTAAATCGTTGACCCGGGCGCACCGATGACAACTGAGAAGCAGCACTCAAAGTAACTGTCGGGGAACGTGGACGTCGCGGCGAGCGGCGAACAGGAGGTGACCTTGAACGGGACCGACGGTATCGCCTACCACGCGATCGGTGATCGTGGAGCCTCTCCCTATCCTTGGAACGTACGGGAGAGCGAGACCTTGAGTCAGACCGACGACGGCGAAGAGAAGTATCCGAACTAAGACGAGGACTCCTAGACCGATGATGCTGCCGAGGAGACCTGGAACGAGATCGTCGAGAACGATGGGAACATTTCGGCGCCCTGGACGCGGGAGCGCTCTTCCATTAACTGACGTTGTAGGTCCTCCTCTCTAGACACTGTAGCCTTCCTGGGGATACGTAGTCTCGCCAAAGCGCCGGAGTTGGCGCTGGCGCTGGCGGCCGTACAGGCGCCGGCGCCAGCATGAAGCTGCCGGCGTCGCCGGCTGCCGGCATAGCCCGGCGTCCGCGATGGGCGCCGGCGTAGGGCATCGACGCTTGGTTGAAGCAACAAGTCAGCAACGGGAGAATCAAGTGCCACAGGCGCCGGCGCAGGAACAAAGCTAGGCAACGGCGCTGGAACGGTGCTAGCTTGGGCTCCGGCAGCTGCCGGCAAAAGGAGCGTCCGAAGCAACTTCTGAACCTCCGGATGCGACAAAGCGTCCGGGTGGGATAGGTCAACAAAGGCGTCAGACGGGCTTTGGCTTCGAAGGCGCCAGCAAACGAGGCGCAGGGGTGGCGGCTGATCTATCACCGGAGAAGAGCGTCCCGACCCGGACGAGGGGAGAAGACGGGGGAGTCCACAGAGGAAACAGGGGAAGACATTCTCCTCTTCCGTTGTGACAAAAGCTTCTTCTTGGCGCTGAGGTAGGCCTTGAAATCTGCGCCGGACAGCTGAGTACAAAAGTGACAGCGCTCGTCAATGGAACAGGCAACAGTCGCACAGTCTGGGCACCAGGGGTGTGGGTCCTTGGCAGACTTCTGCACCTTGCAGATGCAACAAAACTGCCGGGTCATGCACACAAAAGCTGTAACACACAAATGTGAAACGTAAAAACATAGAAACATAACCCCTGCAGGACGAAAAAATGGAAGCACCCCTACAACAAGAATGGGCACGCGTAAGTAAAGTGGGACAGTCGTGTGTAAACAACCAAGATGGCTGCCCCCACACTGAGCCGAAAAAAGCGTGAAAACACACACAAATTAGGCAAGAAATAAGAAGGTACACATAAACAAGCATGAAACAAAAGGTGGAAGAACCCTAGAGGTATCAAAACACCCAAACATGCCACGGCGTGGAAAATCCTCGGGCGGGGACACACCCCAACCCGAAGTGAAGAAAAGAAAAAAAAAAAACACGAGGCAGCCAGGTAAGTGAAGTTACTTGTAAATTATGTTCTTCACCCACAGAGAAGAGACATAAGATAGAAAACATACATACCAAAAACTTTAATATCTGAAAACTATTAGTAAGTGTCTGAAAACTTAGCGAAACAAAAACGTCTGACAAGCAAGACGCTTGAAGTAAAAGTGATTTTGGATGGACCGCGCTAGCTTGCGCGGGAGGGGAGATCACGTCACTTCCGTTGCCTGTACACTCGTCGATACACGAGGTGGCCGTTCTACAGAATGGCGAATCAACGACTGTCTGATCTCTTTAAGCGGAGCTTGAGGTAATATGCATAAGACCTATGGTAAGGTAAGTTAAAAATTACATAAATGAAAATAAGTACGTACAACACAGGGACCTGTAAGTTCATGCTTCAATATCCATTCTGTATCTATACTAACCACAATATTCAAACTGCACATGCATTCTGGGTAATTGATCGCTGTAGCCAGCACATTCCTAATGCAAATATATGGAACTAATGCATGAGCATTAAACTGGCACTGCAGAAAGTTGATCAGTAAAGTGTCACTTCATTACAGATAATCTTCAGCTGAAATAATTGAGTGAGGTCATGGCTCAATTGTAATTTCTACAAAACTGTTGTGAAGGTGCAAGTCTGATCTAACAAGCCAGCAACACAAATACCAGATGATGTCATCTGTTACATCTTACCGAGTTGTGAAGTCATAGGAGCAGGAGATGAGCTTGGTCGCCATGAACGGTGAAGTCTGAAACAGTTAATTTGCAATAGTGTGAAACCATTCCTGGACTGTCCTGTGCATCTGGATATTTTGTGACAAGTTTGTATATTCAATAGCTTTAGAAATTAGTCTTTTTCATGACTGTTGGGATTAAATAACACAATAAATCCATTAATTTCAGGCAACAAATCACGAGCAACATTTGAACATCCATGAAGGTTATCTGTGATGGGCATCTCACCCTGATTCTCCTGATGGCATACTGGTGTCCGCGTAGTTCACACACTTGTTGCCGGGTATTCCTGACATCCCAGACTCGTATCAGTCCATCCACGCCGCCAGTGAAGAGAACATTCTAGAGACAAGGCAAGCAAACAGAGATCACTGACCAACATCACAGCATTCTTGTGACTTGATTGGAAAATGTGTTAGAAATATTATCAACTAACACTTTCCTGAACACATATGTTTAGAATACTTACAGAGTTTTGACAACATATATTTCAAAAGCTTTTTTTCAGTACATAATGAAGACAATATATGGGTATGACAAAAATTAAGATTACATATAAGCAAGGAATCACCTTTTGAATTTGCTAGCCCTATGAGGCGGCTTCATGGATTGGGTGTTCAGATTTGGTGAAGTAGTTGATGACTTGTGAACATGCCCCAATGTATTGCTGTTCATAGTATCAGTCTGTGGACTGTATGGTCCAAACACCGATTATATAAAGGTTGTTGCCATGGAGATGGAATATTGCTGACTCTGAGCATTAAACAACAGACACGCACCCATTGGCTAGGCTGTGTGTAGTAGAGGCCAATACCATAATCCATATCAGTATTCCACTTTTTATTTCTGGCTAATATTAATGAAACATTTTGGAAAAAAATACAAGCATCTCTCACTTGTCTTGGAGTGAGTGAGTTTAGGTCTACGCAGCGCTCAGCAATATTCCAGCTATATGACGGCGGTCTGTAAATGATCGAGTCTGGACCAGACAATCCAGTGATCAACAGCATGAGCATCGATCTGCGTAATTGGGAACCCATGACATGTGTCAACCAAGTCAGCGAGCCTGACCACTCTATCCTGTTAGTTGCCTCTTACAACAAGCATGGGTTACTGAAGATCAATATTCTAACCCAGATCTTCACGGGTATACTTGTCTTGGATGAATGAATGAATCACCATCTACTCTGGTGTATAGCCTGCATGTAAAACCTCAAGACATCCACCCACGTCCTCTGATGGACAATCGCTAGTGATACTCACCTGATCGTATTTGCACCAATCACACGTGAGAATCTCACCACTGTGAGCAGGTATAACACAAGTTGGGAAGTTTGGTTTACGAGCATCCCACACTCGCAAGGTTTGGTCGCCTGTAACAGTTAGGTACAACAGATTTACGTACATCTCTTCCTCTCCCTCTCTCTTCAAATCACACATGCACTTGCCGAAGTCATGTTTTCATTTCACAATATGAACAGCTACCCTCAGTCCTTTTCATCTAGTACTACAGATTTACAGACACACACACACACACAGAGACACACAGAGACAGACACACACACCATTTCTGGTGTCCCCCGCTGTGATATCACTGGAATATTGCTAAAAGCAGCGTAAAACCTTACTCACTCACTATCCTCCCTTCACAAGAACTACCCTCCTCTTTACAACTACTATCCTCCGTTTACGAGATCAACCCTCAAGAACAACTGCTGTCCTCCGTTTACGAGATCAACGAGAACAACTGCTATCATCCCTCCACACCACCATATTACTGCTGGAAGTGAACGATGGACAGAAGAACATACCTGACACAGAGGCAAAACATGCTGGTATATGTGGTGACCACCCAGCAGAGTAGACGATGGAATCATGACCTCTGAAGGTCACTAGAGACTGGGCTGAATGTAAGTCCCACTGGGAAACAGAAACAAGATTTGAACATCCCACAGTGAGCGAGTTGGGTCTCACGCTGTGTCAGCTTGATCAGAGAGAAACTCCAGAAAGTGATGCATGTCTTTGATTGTTACATCTTTTTGCAAAACCCACGGAGGATGATACAAGCTGCACAAGGAGTTGAAAACATTTTTTCAGATAAGAGACATAACTGTATCTCCACTCGTAACAGACAGCAATGCTAAATGTAACCATGAAATTGAAAGATATTGTTTTCATAGATCTCAGCAAAAAAGCTTTCAGCTCAAGGTAAGTACAATTTTCTGCATTGTTTAGCTGCGGAAAGGTGAACATGGTATTTCGTATTTCCATGCTAAGTGGATAATATATACGTTATGGTGAGGATCTCAGCTCATCTATGTGATTGGCTTCTCTCCAGTCATATACGGAATTTCGCGGTATTCAAAACACAACTCAAGTTGGAAAATGGCATATGGAAGCTCATGTATTGTGCAACGTGTTGTTTTTTAAGGGGAAGTCACTCTTACTACTGTGTGGGGTAATATTTGCCTATGACACATGACAAAGCCATTACTGTTAATATTAAATACAGCCATAACTGAGATAGTCCAGCAACAAGGCAACTCACGATTTTGATCAACGTATCCCATGATCCTGTCACCACAAGATTCTCGCCACGAGTCAGACTCCAGTCAACAGAATTAACCTGGAATCAGCATACTTATTTATTCAAGAAAATCAGTTCAGTGGAAAAATATAACATTATCTAAAATTACTCTGAATACTTAATCTGTACTATGATTCTTTTTCAGTTTTTTTTCTTACATCCTCAAAAATGTTAAAAACAACCTACATTCTTTCATATTTCATCTCATTTAGTGCCACAGTCCTGGAGATGAGAACATGTTATTGTGTCAACGTCCTCTTGACATGCTGATCTATCCTGGGCCTAGATTTTCGAAGCTCTCTTAGAGCTAAGATAGTCGTAAGTAAATGTTAATGCATGGCACTTACGACTATCTTAGCACTAAGAGAGCTTCGAAAATCTAGGCCCAGGTCTGTACTTAATTAACAAATGCGACAACATGCAGTCATCGCTGTACAAACTCTCTGATCTTTATGTTTATTGTGTTAAAAGAGGAAAATGTATGCATGTTTGTTTCAATATATCCTCCAATATATGGTCAATGAATTATGTTTTGTTTTGTTGACAAAGTCTAAGAAGGAAGTTGACTATTTAAAGAAGGCTGCAGCTTGATCAGTTTTAAGGGAATTATTCTTATATTCATAATATGTCTGTTTACAATCATTACCTCCTTGGTATGCTCCTTGAATGCTTTTAGTGGACCCTGGAAAAAAATGATTAGACAGTGGTCACAGTCTGTGCTGTAGCTATGGTAATCAAGCATCATGGAGAACCAAAGCAATGTCAAATCACTAAGGTAACACACAGGAATGTTGTGGAGCATACAGTTTTGTATGTCCCCTGATGGATTCAACATGTTACAAGTTTGTCAGAGTGAGTGAGTGAGTGAGTTGGGATAAACAGTTTCCACTCAAATCACAGTATGTCAGATTCATGTGGCAGGAAAGCCTGAGGTGATACTGATTTTACCACTTTGGTGAAACCCTAGACCATGGTTTTGGCGTTCACAACGAGAAGCAAATCTGGACAAAATGGGATTCAAATCATGATCAAAGGTTTTTGGTGTGCCTAAAGGGAAGCGACTCTGTACAATGAACTGCTGCACCTAAGACAACAGTGCATGTGTCCTCGATATTGTAAAAACAATTTAACAGGTCAATAAAGCATATTATCCAAATATGACATCCTAAACGGCTAAAAAAAGGAATCAAATGTTAGTCATTGAAAGTAAGTAAACTTGACCGTCAACATTCCTCAGAAGATTATGCTTAATTGTTCAAATCATATAACTACTGCCATGAGTCTATGCATAAGATATTGCCCAAACAACGGCATTGTATCATGACCTTGAGGACGACCTTAACCCTCGACATGAATGATCAATGTCTCAAAGAATCCCCAGGCTTATACAGGTGATTCATGTGACATGCACATTCCTGATATGTCCAAACACCATGTTGTTTCAAAAATGTCAAATTCAGACAATACCTGAAAGCATCCACATTAGCAGGTCAGAGTGATTCACTCCATGACAAGTTTTTGGAGTACATATCACAAGCTTCAACTTACATCAGTCATTGATATGATACTACGTGTTATAGACAACTGGACCACCTGGCTTATGATCTGGTAAATCTTCTGCAATTTCTACACCATGTGTAACCATGGTAACAAACTACCTGTTCCTGCAGGACATCCCAAACAAGGAGGCTCCCATCTCCACTTGCTGTCACCAGCACATTCTCGTTGTTTTCTGACCAAGCCACGTCAAACAAGCCATCACTCCAGTCAAATGTACGAACTACCACTAAATGGTCTTGTCTCAGCTCTAATACAAACAGTGTTCCACACCCTTGAAACACAAAAGCACAAGAGTTAGATATCATTCCTTTTGTTTTTCTTCTTGCTTTTAGTATTCTTAGCAGGTTACAGAGAAAGTCTTTGACAGAGCTTAACAAAAGATGTTAAAGAATAAAAAACATCCCCAAGAGAAAACGTTGCTAATTTCTTTGAAAGAAATACTCAAATAATAAAGATCCTAAATGAATATTGCCATATATAAATATATGATATCTAAAAAAACAAAATTAAAAGGCAGTATGATTATGATATTATGAAGGTCAATGAATAACATACACATACTATTGAAGAGAATTTGACTTTGCATTCACACACATATGAATGCATGTCTTGAAAATGTACTTCATGATTAACAAATTGATTTGTATCTGCCAAGTATCAAGTATATATCTTAGAAACGCATCTTAAATATTGCAACATGGTTCATCGAAATATGCATTAAGTGAAATTCTCACATTAATAAATACACATTATTAATTTTTCATAGTTATTTGTTATTTTCGATGCCATATATATTAGCCTAAAGCCAGGAAACAATCACAAGCTTCAAGCTACCTTGACACATATGTATGACAAACTACATTCACCAGCACAAGGTCAGATAATCACCTCTCTACTAGGAATTGGAATGCTATATCTGGAGCACATTCTGTGTTAACAGGTTAAATGATGGACTTGGTAGACACTGTAATTAGAGTGCCATGAGTGAAATATTGCCTCGGTTCAGTTAGGACAACTGTCAACTGTTAGACTAAGATACAATCTGTATTGTGTTTAGAAGACTTGAATCAACCTTGCTTAATGAAAAGTATCAATGACAACAAAATGACTGTTTTTTTATTATACTATTCCACAGTTTTCATTCATTTTCGCTGACTTACTGAATGAGTGAGTTGGATTTGTGCGCTGCTTTTAGCAATAGTCCAGCAAATCACGGCACTGGACACCAGAAATGGGCTTCACACATTGTACCCATGTGGGGAATCGAACCCAGATCTTCGGCGTGACGAGCAAAAGCTTTAACCAATAGGCTACCCTACCTCACCTTCGCCGACTTAGACTGAGATAGAATCTGTATAGTGTTTAGAAGTATGGAAGGATAACAATATATGGATGAATAACATCCTTAATTGCAGTGAGAATGGCGTTTCAGTGTAGGTTCAAACACCGTTATCAAGCAAGTGATAAACAGCATGAGGATAGAGAAACATATATACAAGTTCACTGTCACTGTAATTAAAGCAGTTTGTCATCCATATACTGTTATCCTCCCTTACTGCTCTAACTTTTAAATGCCTCTCAAAGAGGTTAAAGTGTTTTGCATCATTCATTTATGGAATACACAATAACCTTAAGAACCATAAGTTTTCCAGGAAATTTCAAATATCTACACTGTATACTTTAGAACTCGACTGAATTCAACTGGCAACTGCCAAATATATTTAGGCATTGTACTGACTGAATGGTTCAGCTGTCCAGACAAGTTAGGGTAGGACAAGTGAGTTACATCAACATCCGCAAGTCGGAAGTAAATGTCAGTAAAAATAATCATATGGTTATCACTTTAAATGTCATAATGCGGATTATTATAAATTTAAAAAATTAGTACCTTAAGTCATTCTGTAAAATCTGATGAACAGATCGCAAGATATTTTTATTTTATTTTTGTCAACATCATTTACATATGCATAAAATACCTGCGATGCCATAATACTGGGAGGACGAACAGGCTAGCCTGTTGGGAAAGTATGGTGAAAATTTTACAGAGTATCCATGGCGGGATTGGGTTCTAAATGTAACCGACATGAGAACCGACTTAACCCCACATCTCACGCCACCAAAATAAGTGTTTTTAGGATAGTCTTGAGAGTAGCCTCCCTTGTTGAACGTTCCGTTTTACCACATGTTGCGTTTTCAGGGTGGATTATGAAACGGAACGCATATGATATACAAAAAGGAACAACACCGGAGCCGATATATGTATTTTAATCATATTTTGCTCATTAATCATCAAATCGATTACTTTTGGTACGATTACGACAACCGGAAATGAGACCGATATTTCTTGCCGCCATCTTCTGAAATCTGCGAGGAGATGAGCAGTGTTTACACTTTTGTCTCCAATAAAAATGTAGATTTCAGTATGAAACTTCCTGTACAAAGTTGTCAGTGATATCCATTTCGAAGGGAGTTATGGAGCGCCCTGAGTATTTCTTGCAGTCAGAGGTAGCGCGGCTCGTTTTGGGTAAGATTGTTTAAACTTTTATGCAAGTTTGAAAGTTTTGTCGTCATAACCTGTCATGATAACACAATGCTGATTTCCTCTCCGCTACGTTTTGCTTGTTCACGAATGGCTTGGGCAAACGTCTGAGACTGAGCTTTGTTTTCTTGCTGTTACTGTCATAAATTGGCATTTATATCCATCGATTATGTAGAACACTTCTATTATAGTCTGATACTGATATAATGTATTTTGAAGTCAAGTCATCGGTTCAAACTGACCAAGGAATCCTAGTATCCTTCCTGCTAACAATAATGTGGTTGCCTTGTGCGGACTTTCCTCTCGTGTCCTTCATTATAACTTGACAAAATGCAAGCAATTTTTATGTATACCGGTGTTACATGCTTTGAGAAGCTTAAGACACCTACATTGTTGATTTGCAAATCGGCCTGCAAATCTCCTGAACAACTGTAGACAATTTCACTAATTCATGAAAGTCAACTTTACCTTAAAAAACCCAAACACCATTAAGTATTTACATTGTGTTGTGCAACATACCTTGGGGTAATCGATAAACATGTGATGTCCAAAAACATATCTGACCATGTTAGTTTTTCAAAACTCCTTGCTTTTGATGCACATATATCGTGTTCATATACAAGGAATTTGTGCTCTGTCAGGTTTTTCGGCTTGTTGTTAATATAGCTTTACATAAGACAATTCAGTATAAATATTGTAGATATTGGCAACAATGCCATACCATGCACTTGGTGCAGCATGTTTTGTGCTAATTTATATAATAGCTCTTTCTTCATGTTCTTGCTGCTTTGGTCCCTAAATTGTTTTAGGGTTGGTTAGCACCAACTGTATCCTCAGGCCTTTACTCCCCATTTTAATAGAACACCTCCAAATATTCCAGTGCCAATCAAACACCCCTTTACTACCATACAAGGAGGCCAAGGAAGTAATAAGGATGCTAAAGTAAGTGCCTTTGGCAGGCATAATGGGAATACAGTCATCATTTTGTGCATATTTGGGATTTTTTTACAGTTCATATTTTCCAAAATTCTGAGTTATTTCAACATAGTAGTCAGTGCAATAATATAAAATTAAGGATTAACCTCATCCTTGTTTTTGGTCTTGATGTCACTGGTTGTTAGTGCTGTACAGCATATACAGTTTACCCATCCACCTCCACAACATTACAACATTATCATCGTTGATTATTTTCACCTTACATCTTGTATAGTCTTTCAGTGCAATATTTCTGCATTGATGTTAGTTATGGTACCTTTAACCACATGCATGATCAAGATAATAAATATACCAGCATCTATACCAAAATATCACTTTGAAAAAATATAGAGGTTGTTCACCTTAAGTCACCTCTGATAAATGTTCATGCCTTGATCATCCATTGAAGTATTTTTGATTCCAGCATGTAAGAAATGTGGGAGCATTAAAATGGTTATGTAATTAAGAAAGTAAACTCTGTAAATTTAAGATTAGTTGTCTTCATATTGGTTTTAATAACAATTGTTAATGAAACTATGTTCGTGTATATGTATCTTTATTTTAAGCATTGAATCTACTTGCAAATTGCTTTTGAGGAGGTGACATGACATGATGTAGTGTTGGAAATAAATCCTTCAACAGGCTTACCTTTAACAGCCGAGCTGGAACTCGGCGCTATTATAAATAGATTGTTATTATCCCCCGCAACAACGAAGTGATAGCTTAACCACACCTCGTACACATGTCAACCATGATCCTTAGATGTGCCTTTTAGGGGTTAGACCCAGATATGAATTTTATTTTTTGTGGTTTCAAGGGGGAAACGTGACTTATGCTGTGGCAATGAGGATGTCGTCTTGTCCGGAGCAGATCTCCTAAATTATACTTGCTAGCTTCATCAAACTTGGTACACATATCAAGCATGATCCCTAGATGTGCCTTTGGGGGGTTTGACTCAGATATGAAGTTTATTTTTTGTGGTTTCCATGGAAACATCACTTAGGCTGTGACTATGAGGATATCATCTTGTTGCATTTCCATGGCAACAAGTTAGGCTTTAACTGAATTTGGTGGTAATGCTCCTTTCTAGAGCAGATCTTAAAAACCTTTCAATACTCTCCTTCCACTTCGCTATATACACTCCAAAACATTTGACATAATCATAACTAGTAGACATATTCATAAAGAGTATTTTGCCGATGCGGGGGATATTGATGACTTTGTCTTCTTGTTATTATTACCATGTAATGCTTACTATGTTTACTGTCTTTAAAACTTGTATATGTACTTTGGAGTATGTAGTAAGAAAAGTCAAATTCTTGTTCTTTTTCATAGAGTCTGAGATCGTCCTTGGGGTACATATATGCATTTTCTGCGGCTGAAAATGTCATGTGGCAGTTGTATCAATGTTTTAATAAAATATTGTACAATCAATACAAGGTCTTTTTTTATCTATTATACAGCCCCCCCCACCACATGGAGTTACCTCCCTGCCACGCGTGCGTGGCCAACCAGGTAAGCACCCAGGCCCGTATCATCATTCCTTCTGCTGTCACGCATCGTGTTGACACATGCCTTGACTGTGCTGACCAATTCTATGATGTCTGAGTCTTCAACTACTGTATGAATGGTCTTTATTCATTCTTTAGAACTTTGACTTTGCAGTTAGTTATTTCTCATTTATGTGACTTTTGTATTAAAAGTTTACGCTCACTTTCCCGTGGTTAACGCACACGTTGCTATTCCATGGCGGGAAGTTTAGCGTGCCACAGGGTTGAAATATTGCTTTATATACAATTATTTCATGTCGCATTCACATATTTTCAATGTTTTATACATGTTATTGCTGTTTCTGTTTCTGGCCGTTAGCTACATGCGTTTACGGCATGCGTTGCCTGTGGGCAAAAATTGCCGCCACAGGACAAACATGAGAAGTGTTTATGCTGCCTAGAGAAAGCTGGGCACAACCCAGACGTGTGTGCGCTCTGCATCGGCTTTTCCCCCAAAGCGCAAAAGAGGCAAGCTGCAGATTTCCTCTTTTTTAAGGAATTGAGGGAGGCGGGAGGGGACCTGGCTGAGGAACTTTCCCCCGTCTAAATCTTAAAAGGCTAAGAAGCCTAGCAAACCCAAATCTTCAGGTTCTAAAGAATCTCAACCTTTTGATATGTCATTAATACAACAGATGTTTCAGCAACATGGACTGCTTCTGTGGTGTAGTGGTTAGAGCGTCCGCCCGGAGAGCAGAAGGTTGCGGGTTCGATCCCCGACAGCATCATACCAAAAGACGTTAAAATATGGTACTTGTTGGTCCCTGCCTGGCGCTCGGCATTAATGGGTACAACAAGAACCGATGGGCTCGGAGTCAGTATAATGTGTCTGAGTGGGGTATTCATGCTTCACTGTGTCATGGTATCTCAGTGGGCTAGCACTATAAAAACCTGCTTAAGTCTGGGCTAGTACAAGCAGCCGCATAGTGTCTCGGGGTCTTCGGACTCTTCCCTTCCCTTGTCGTCTGTGCTTCAGCCTTCCACTGCGTCGGGGTTCTCTTCAGGAGGATCCGAATTCTGGCTTGGGCTCAGGAGCCGAGTCGATGGATGTAGGGGGGGTTGAGGAGTCCGAGGGCACTTTTTGCTTCTCGTCACCTTTGCGTGAGGTGCGTGAGCGCATGGCGCAGATGTTGCCCCAAGCTGCGGTGCCAACATGCCGTCAGGATTTGTCTGGTGGGGCGTTTGCTCCTCGGCAGCCTCCACAGACGCAGCTCTGCGTTCTTCCATCACTGGTCCAGCATGTAGTGGATCCGTTGCTTGCTGGTTATCGGCTCCAATTCGACTTACCCGAACTCGTGAAGCATTACCAGCTGGGCGATGAGTTGCTCTTCCAGGTTCCGGTAGTGGATGAATGTGTTTTCATTTCGTTCGCCTTCGGGGAGGCTCGGCTTCCTCGGGTTCAGCTCTGGCTGCCAAACAAGGGCGTTTAGTTCCACCTTTCGCTCAGTCGGGCGCCCCTCTGCGGCAAGCTTACCGAACCTACAAGGAGGTATATTGGAATGCTGCGCAGCAGATCAGGGTGGTGGTCCACATTGCTGGCCCTTCTGTTTCGGTGCGACATTGTTTCCTGGGGACCAGCAGGTTATATAGGAGGCTGCTGCTCCAGCTACTTCTTTCAAGGACTGGAATGCCTTGCTGGAACAACCGCGGGTTTCTCGCCCCGGGGCTCCTGTGGCGAGCACTTCCTCAGGGGTGCAGCCTAGGCCCGAGTGCAGGTTGGCTTCGGCCACTTGGCAGGGGAAGGAGGAGGAACCACCCCACCAAAGGTAAGAGTAAGGAGCAGACCTTTTCGTCTGGCTCCTAGCAGCCTTTTCGCAGTCTGCCCCGACCCCCTGTTAGACTTGTGGGCTGCTCCAGCGGATACGTCCCCATCAGTCCAGCTGCAGAGAACTACTCACCCTCTCTTACCACATATCCCAGTGGGAGGCCGCCTCTCTCTATTCCTTCCGGAGTGGGAGAAGGCTACACACAACTCTTGGGTGCTGTCCACCGTACGTGTCGGCCATTTACCGCTGTGGAAGCGAGGCCCGCCAGAGTTCACTGGCATAAGGCTCACTCTGGTGTCGTCATGTCCGGTCAAGTCAGGTATACTGCGAGATGAAGTTCAGGCTTTGCTGGACAAGTCCGCAATTGAGTGCATACCACCGGGAGAGGAACAGGCGGGGTTCTATTCCATGTGCTTCCTCGTACCGAAAGGAAAAACCGCGGGTTCCGTCCCATTCTCAACCTCAAGGGGTTGAATTGCATGATAGAGGTTCCGTCCTTCAAGATGGAGACACTTTGCTCGGTGATCTCCTCTGTTCAGCCCGGCGATTGGCTCACGTCAATCGATCTAAAGGATGCGTATCTTCATGTACCTATTCATCCCACGTTCAAGCAGTACCTCAGGTTCTCTTACGATGGGATGTATTATCAATTAAGGGTGCTCCCCTTCGGCATATCCACTGCCCCCAGGGTGTTCAC